TTTTCTTTGCAGATGGTAGGCTTATATTGTTCTTCTTTCCTGAGGTGGAAGTTTAGGTTATTGATTTCAAGTTTATCTTCTTTTCCAACACATTTAATTCTATAAATGCTCTTTGAAATGCTGCTTTTACCACAGGCTACAAATTTTGATAAGTTGTATTTTTCATTTAATTCAAAATACTTAAAAATTTCTTTTGTGTTTTTGACTTGTGTTATCTAAAGTGTGCTGCTTGTTCTCCAAGTACTTCGGGATTTTCCTGCTATCTTTCTGTCATATCTCTGTAGTCTGACGGTGGGTTTTATGTATGATTTTTATTATTTTTGTATTTGTTAACAACATTTTTATTGATTCAGCAATAGTCTGTTTTGATAAATGTTCCTTGTGAGCCAGAGACCAATGTATATTTTGTCATTGTTTTGTACCAATTAGATCCAGTTGACTGATGGTGCTATTTAGTAACTACAATCCTTACTGATTTTCTACCTCCAGGTCTGTCAATCACTGATGGATGGATGTTAACGTTTCCAGCTCCACTAGTGAATTTGTCTATTTCTTCTTGTAGTTTTGTCAGTTTCTGTCTCACCTATTTTTGATATACTGCTATTGGGTGCCTACATATTAAGGATTGCTATGTACTTTTAAAAACTATTTTCTCATATGCAATATCCATTTTTATCCTTGATTTCCCTTGTTCTGAAATCTAATTTGTCTGAGTTACTGAGCTACCCCAGTTTTGAAAAAAATATTTTTATAAGACTTTATTTTTAGAGCAGCTTTAGTTTTACAGCAAAGCTAAGTGGGAAGTATGGGGATTTCCTATATATTTTGTCTTCAAGTTATTTTACTTGTGTTAACCTAGCACATCTTTCTCCATCCCTTCACTTTTAACTTAACTCTTTTTAAATTTACTATTTTATTTAAGTATACAGTTCAGAGGCATTGAAACATTCATGTTGTTTTTTAAAAAAATTTTCTCCATAATTTATAATAAGATAATCACTGTCAAACATAAATTTTGATAATTTGCTTCAAGTCTTCTTGATTAATTCCTTTTCCTTCCAAAATGTTGTCTGCAATATGTAAAGCAATGGAGAATTTTTGGTGGAAAGCCCTCAAATATTTGGAAATTAGCAACATACTTGAAAGTAATTCATGGGTCCAAGAAGAAATCATAATGCCAAGTAGTAAATACTTTCAACAGAAAATACAACATAATGTGTGGGTTGTACTTAATGTGGTTCTTAGAGGGAAAATTACAGTCTTCAGTTCAGATTGTGTCATCTTGACCCTCCCATTACCAGTCCCTATCAGTCTCTCACCACTGGTCTCAGGACTATTGCTTAGATGATTATTTCCTAAGAACTAAAACATTGCTTTTTTATGTTTACTAGTTAGAATTCTTCCAGAAGGAAGAACGCCCACTCATCAACTATTCTGTTACTCTGACACGTAAGTAAAATAAGGAAGGTAAGATTAATTACTTGAACTGTCAATTTGTTTTCAGAAAAATGAGGCAATGCTCCAGCAAAGTTCAGCAGGGCTGGGTTTTTTATTTTTTTATTTTTTAGATTTATTTATTTATCTATACAAGAACCGGGAGGGTGAGAGGTTTCACCAGAGACAGAGCGGGGAACAGAACAGGCAGACTGACCGAGGTACACTGCTGAGGGGAGCAGCGGGCGAGACAGGAGAGGTCTGCTGCGCCATGTGGGACCCTCTCAGGCCGGCCGGGATTGAACCAGCGCTGCAGAGGCTGCGGACAGCTTCACCACAGTGGGGCACTCAACCACCTGAGCCACCAGGGAGGCCCCATTTGAAGTCTTGTCTGGGACTGAGGGATCTGTTTCTGTCCATGAGTTTGGCAACTGCCACTGAGGCTGACTGGGTACTAAGTCCCTCCACAGTGGGGCCCCTCCACAGACTGTTTGAAAGTCCTCATGACATGACAGCTTCTTTCAGTGCTGGTGATGTGGGGAAAGGAGAGAGTGAGTGAGAAATAGAGGGAAAGCAAAGATGGGAAAGAAAAGGTGCGGGTAGCTAGAACAAGGTGGAAGCTTAACATTTTTAGGACCTAGACTTGGAAGTCACATAATGTCATTTCTGCACACTTAAAGGGAAAAAGGGTTGGCTTCTTTTAAAAGGAGTGTCAAAAAATTTATGACCCTATCAAAAAACGCACTTTTTTACCCTTGCTTCTGTGATACTATGATCCATGAACTTTTCCCTGTTGCACTGTAATCCCAAAATAGCACATATCATATACTTGATTCAGGCTATATCCCCAACACAGAACTTCTCCTAGTTTAAACATCAATTTAGGGCTTCTTAGATTTCTGAGAGTGACTGAACTACTGATGGTCTTGGTGCCTCTGTAGAACAGAGATATAGTTTTAGAATATATATATATATATATTTTGCATCATCAGCATAATCAAACTATGTTAAAGGATATAAGTCCTTCCCTGTGCAACAGAAATGGGTGGCCACTCTGTAACACAAGCATGCCACAGTGTTAGGGGGAAGTGATGTCCTGAGTTAACCCCATACAGGCTTTGTGGACTCCACCCCCACCATCCATATGTTTGATCTTCATCACCATGGAAATGGTGGCAAAAAGTGAAAGGGGGGAATTGTTAGGGGGAAGTGATGTCCTGAGTTAACCCCATACAGGCTTTGTGGACTCCACCCCCACTCCAGACTAAAGCCATCAAGACTCTGGGAAAGACAAATCCCATCACCACCAAGGGAGGGTGGCTGGGACCTGAGGGTGGAGTTGGGCAGCCAGGTTGGATATAAAAAACCAAACACGTGGGCCTTGGGCTCTCTGGCTCGCGATCGCTGGCGTCCTGGCTTCACCGCTCCTGGCTGGCGGCCAACTCTGAGAGCGCCATTTTGGGATTCCTGATCGGCGGATTGGGTAGGACTCATTTAAAACTTTGTCTCCCACTTTTCTCCCAGAGCTGTACATTTCCTCATTTCCCCTTCCCTTTGTAAATAAACCTTTTATTAACCTTTCACGTGTGCCTGCAGTAGAGCATTGATAAGTCCTTTTAAGCGCGGGTGAGGACCCACAGTCAGGCACCCCGTTTTGTATCGGGGTTGCTCTACAACAACAGGACTGGTCCCTGTCTAAGAAGCATCTGGCTGCCAAATTAAGGTCAGCTGCTTTCGAGCTTTCCTGTGAATATTTCCTTCTAGTTCAGTGATTTGTCACCCTTAGCACTTTCTAGAAGAAAAAGGCTGGCAGAGCCCAATGGTCTATGAAACTAGAAATTAGAAGGATAATTTTGTTTTTGTTTTTTTTCAATATTTACTTTTTATTTATTTATGCATAAAAGACTGGGATGTAGGCCAGAGGTGCTGGAGGGTGAGAGGATTCACCAGAGACAGAGTGGGGCGCAGAATAGGCGGATTGACTAAAATACACTGCTGAGGGGAGCAGTGGGTGAGACAGGAGAGGTCTGCTGTGCCATGTGAGTAGCTCCCTGGTTGGGGAGTAGTAAACTCATGCCACAGTGACTGGTGATAGCTAGATAGCGCTGAGACTTTAATCCCTGCACCACCAGGGAGGTTGCTAGAACTCTAGTTTAAATTAGTTTGCCTTTATGGAGATGGTCCACAGCCCACCCATATAAAATGCGTTTTCCTTTATTTTTAGATGGGGAAAGCGAGGCAGACAGGTTAAACAACCTGCAGAAAATAACACAGCTGAAAGAAAGACAGGGAAGATTGAAATTTATTAGGCAACTGAAGAACTGTGGATTTTCTTCCCATTCATCTGGGGTATAATACACATAACATTAAATTTACTATTTTAGCCATTTTTTAGTGTGCAGCTCAGTGGTATTAAGCACATTCACAATGCCGTCCACCTCCAGAACATTCTCTTATTTCCCAAACCGAAACTCTGTTCCCATTAAACCTCAACTCCCTAAATCGCCCTACCCCGGGCCTCATCCTTGTCCAGCAGCCACTCGGCTCTTTTTAGGGTATTTCCACAATTCAAATTAATTCGCATTTTAGCAGCTGCCCTGGAGCCTGGCAGAAACCAAAACACAAGATACACATACAGAATAGCCTTCACCACCTGAGCCAAGCCCAGCCAGCCCGGCTCAACCTCACCGGGCCCTGCGGCCCCGCCCAGCGCCGGCTCCGGCCCCGCCCCGCCCCTTCCACGTGACCCACACGAGCCCGCCTCCAGCCCACGTGACCCGCGCTGGCTCCCGCTCGGAGGGCGGTGGCTTCTACGGGCCGAACCACGATAACCATCAGAATGGGGGGAGGTGGAATGACGTCCGCTGCGGTGGGCTAGGGCGTAAGTGCTTTAAGCAACACACTAAGTTTTGTATGACGCAGGCAGTTGCGTGTCTAGTAGTGGCGGTCATCTCTGGCTCTCCAGGAATTCCTTTTCTATTTTGGAATCGTCCATTCTTTTGCCCAGTCAGTAGACGAGTCTAAAAACCGAGAAGTGAAAGGGGGAGTTTAGTCATGCCAGATAAACGTTAGAAAAAGGCTAAGCTATCACAACCACACCAGTTTGTTGGAATCCAATTTTTCCCCCAATATGAAATTTTCAGTTAAATTAGGTTTTCATGCAATGCGGCAGCCAGGAATGATGTCTGCTCCCCCCCTGTCGCGTCACTAATAGTTTGGTCCTTTCCCGCAGCGCCCGACGGGAGAAGGAAGGGAGTGGCTGCCATGTTGGGCGAGACCACTCGCCAGCACAAGTAGGGGGCCCGGAACCCCCAATCAGTTTATAGCTTGACCCAGGCCGCCGTGGTGACTGCAGTGGAGCACGTGCTTGTTTGGGGGCGATCGCGGTAATCCGGGTAGACCCTTTCCGTCCTCCGAGCTCGCGGGCCCGCGCTGGGAGGCGTCAGGGCGTGGGCGTCCCCCCCTCCCCCAGCCCTAGCGGCGCCGGGTCTGCGCGCACGTGGCCCGGCGGCTGGCGCCGCGCGGTGCGGCCTGGGAGAGTCGGAAGCGCGGTAGTGCGGCGAGGCGGCAGCGGCGGGCCCATGCAGGACGCGGAGAACGTGGCGGGGCCCGAGGCGGCCGAGGATCCGGCCGAGCCCGAGCAGCAGCCGGCTGCCGAGCCGCCGCTAGGGGAGGAGCCCCTGCGGCCGCCGGGGCCCGGCGCGGAGGAGGCGGTGGGCGGCGAGGACGCGGCGGAGGCCGATCCCCGGCCCGACGTCCCGGTGGACGGGCCGACGGCCGAGGGCGAGGAGAGCGCGGCGGGTGCGGACGACCGTCCCGCGTCCCCTCCGTCTGAGGAACCCACCGCCGTCGCCTCGGCCGCGGAGGACGCCCCGGGGGAGCAGGCCCGGGACGCGGCGGCCGAGGCCCGTTCCGAGGGGGCGGGCGGGGAAGACGGCGACGCGGAGGAGCCTTCCTTCAGCGACCCCGAGGACTTCGTGGACGACGTGAGCGAGGAAGGTGAGGCGCGGGCCGTCGGCGCGAGGGCCCCGGGCTCTGCCAGTCAGCGGCCCCCTGCCCCGTCGGGGCTCCCGCGCGCAGGGGAGGGCTTCGTGGGAGCGTGGCGCCCCCGCTTTTCTTTGCTGTTTGCAAAAGTGGGGGCTGGGAGGAACTAACTTGGGGAGCCGGCTGTCAGCTCCCGAACCTGTGCCTTGCAGGCTGGTGACGCAGCCGGCGCGCTGGGGGCCGCGGTGGTGTGCGCGGCGGCGAGGCTGCCGGGGCAGAGCCCCGCGGGCACCGCACGTGCCGGGGGACAGGCTGCCGTCCTCAGGCTTGGGTCAGCCCCCAGGCCAGGGAAGGAGTCGGTGCCCGCTCGGTAGGGGCGGTGAGGACGCTGGCTTTTTAGAGTGGGAAGGGCTTGTCGTGCAGAGCTGGGTGCTTGGGCCCCACCGAAGCTTCTGCCTGCAGAATTCTTCAGTAGGACAGTGTCAAGCCGGCCCCCAAATCCGTGTTTGGTTCTCTCTTCAGCCGACCAGACCTTCGTTCTGTTGGCAAGTTGCTCAGGTTTTAGTATTGTTGATTCTACCTTGACTTGCCTTCTTTTCCTTCTGTATTAACAGGCATGTCTGAGAAATTCTATCTCCAAAAGTGACCTCCCGTGAGGGCTGTCTGAAGTGTTTCCGTTTGTTTCTGTTTCGTGTTTATCTGTTCTGAGTCTGCCAGCTGGGAGCACACGAGCGGCTTTCTCTGTGTGTTGACTGTTACAGTAAGATGGGAAAATAGAATGTTATTAAAATAGCAAGGGCTACATCAAAAAATAAGAAATTGTCATGTTAAGTAAGGTTGTTTTTAGATGTGTGATTTCATTGAGATTGAGTTAGCATGAAGATGATTCTTCAGGTGAAAAGGTTTAGAGAACCAATAGGGTTGTCAACTTATAATTTGAGTGCAATTTTAAAGTACTTATTGTCATTATTGTGTCATTTTTATTAAATAAAAGACATTTTAGTGTGTAAGGGTGGAAAGAGTCTACAAGCTAGTGAAGACTTGGAAGTTGCTCATTAGTCAAAACCTCTTTCTGTGACAAAATGTGTTCCTTCTGGTGTAGGTAGACTCCTTCACAGGGAGGCAGTGTTGACTGGACCCACCAGACACTGTTCTTTTTATCACATAAACCAATAAAGCCTCTTTTGAGCCCTTGAATTTTAACTCTGCTATCGAATTTTTTTTTTTTAAAGCATTTGAGCCCACCTAATTCACACCATATTTCCAGATTGTGGATTATATGCAGAATTGAGTGTGTGTGTGTCAGAGGGTGCTAAAGCGAGCACAGGGCAGCCAGGTTGGGTGCCTTGGGGAGCCTTGTGGTCCTGATATATTTCCAGAGTAACCAGTTAGGCTCCTGGTCTTAAGGAACTGCCACCAAACAGGCTGTCAGTGTTCGTGGATCAGGTCACTTGGTTGTGGTCAGTACCTCAAGCGTGTTCTGTTCATGAAAAGAACTGTTTGTAGTAAATCAGAGAAGATGCAGATGGTACCGGTTCTTTTGAAAATGGACTGAGGCTCAGGAAGAACCCTCTTCTAGGGGCCAATTCTTGGATGCAAATTATTAATGTGTCTTAATCTTTATCCTTTCTCTGCCTACGGTGCTTAGCTAAACAATCAGTGATAAAAGTTATAACTCTAAATGACTCTTTTTTTGGTCATTAAATATTTATCTTTTAATTTGCTGTCTAGTTTTGAGAATTGCCTTTTCTTCTGGAGCCAGATGGGGAGTCTGGGAGTGGCACGCATGCTGTGGTAGTGGTGAATGAAATGTGTTGTGTGTTTACTATAGTTACTCCTTCATTGCATATGGGCAGATTTTTACAAAGTAGACACTTACAAGATTGTGGGAAGAGGCTGAACTTTTTATTATAAATCTTGTAAATTCAGAGCTGGCTTAACAGGCCATCTAATTGTATGGTTAGTGATCTTTAAAAAGAACTCAGGCATTTATGCCTCCAGTCTTTATAGGGAAAGCATCTCACATTTGCTTGCTCTCATCTGTCCCTTTTTTTCTCTTTGTATGGTCTCAATTTAAGCTTCTTTAACACTTAAGTGATCATTCTCTTTTCAAGGAAGCATCTTTAATATTCATAAATGCGTTGATAGCAGTTCGTGACACAACTGTCTCTTGAAATTAAAGGAGTTTGCTTTTTTCAAAGACCTTTTTGCCTTCCAAACTTCCTATTATGGAAAATTTCAAACACTGAAGTGGAGAATTCACCTTAACTTTTTTTTTTTTTTTTAAGATTTATTTATTTATTTATTTATACAAGCACTGGGTACAGTCAGAAGCACGGGAGGGTGAGGGAATTCACCAGAGCCAGAGCGGGGAGCAGAGCAGGCAGAAGGACCGAAGTACACTGCTGAAGGGAGCAGCGGGCGGCAGGAGAGGTCTGCGTGCCACATGGGACCCTCCTCCGGTGGCCGGGGAGCAGCTGGGAATCGAACCAGCATTGCAGAGGCTACCGGCAGCTTTGCAACCCAGTGCTCAACCGCTTCACCACCAGGGAGGCCCCACCTTAACTTTTGAGAATGAACCATAGCTAAGAATATTTTCTGATGTGTTCCTGCTTTGCATATTGATATTCTTACGAATACAATACAAGGAGTGATAATTAGATTTTTGAACAAGTAGAAGAGTAACATGCCATTCTTTAGTTACCTGTTTGGAAATAACTTTGTGTTCTCATTTTGTCTGTATGGGTTCAGTTTCATATAACCAGTGTGCTTTGATGACAGTTTTAAAGATCTGTTTGTTATAGCTTGTAATCCAGTGCCTGTAATTTATAGAATCTGTACAAACCTAACTAATTGGGTTTGTACAGAGTTTAGATTGAAAAGGTAAGACCTTTCATTTGGTATGCCATTTGACCCCCAAGTGCTTATCTCCCGCAGCTGATCAGGCATTTCTCTTGGTGATTTTTTCTTATTTTAGCTGACCATTTGCTGGACATGAAGGAATTCTAAGAAATTTAAGTACTTAAAATTTAGGGTCTATGGTCTTTTTTTTTTTTTTTTAATTTTCTAGAGGCATGTCTTATTTATTTATTTATTTATTATTTGTTTGTTTGTTTGTTTTATACATGCACTGGGTACAGTCAGAAGCGCGGGAGGGTGAGAGAATTCACCAGAGCCAGAGCGGGGAGCAGAGCAGGCAGAAGGACTGAAGTACACTGCTGAGGGGAGCAGCGGGCGGCAGGAGAGGTCTGCGCGCCATGTGGGACCCTCCTCCGGTGGCCGGGGAGCAGCCGGGGATCGAACCAACGGTGCAGAGGCTGCAGGCAGCTTCGCAACCCAGCGCTCAACCGCTGCGCCACTGGGGAGGCCCGGGTCTATGGTCTTGATTTAAAAGCAGGTGACATCACATTTTGAATTTTGTAGTTTGAAAGTAAAAGTTAACCCATACTGCTGTTTCAAGCACTGTCCTAAGCATTTACGAATTTAACATCTAAATGATGTCTCCAACAACTCTGTGAGGCGTTTCATTGACTTGGCGCCATCAGTTATAAGAGACGTTATATTTGCATGTTCATGAACTTGTATATTCTCTGAACTCATTTAAATGCCAGTCTTAGCCCCAGGTTCTCTTCACGTGGTGGATATTTGTTTTTCGAGGTGGATATTTGAATAATGGGCTTGTTTTGTTTCAGAAGAAGGAGGTGTCTGGTGGTGGGGTGGGGAGGCATACCCCCAACCCAAGTTGTTTTTTTCCTGATTCCTGGTGATAGGCAATCTTTTTTCTTTTCATCATTATTAAAGTCTTTTTAAAAAATTCACTTAAGATCTTTCATTTTTAGATATCAGTTCACATATCTTGACTGTCAAAAGCAGCATGAAGAGATAAAATCTTCTTTTATTCTATCATGTTTACATTTTGAGTCAAGCTAGGACTGATTTGTTCACAGTGAAAGCATTTAGATTATTCTTTTTGTTTCTTGGAAATTCGTTCAGTGTGTTAAGGTAATGTCTTAATGTTTTGCTTGGTCAGAAGTCATTTGACACATCTTTCATTCATACAGAATTATTGGGAGATGTACTGAAAGATCGGCCACAGGAAGCAGATGGAATCGATTCAGTGATCGTGGTGGACAATGTTCCTCAAGTGGGACCTGATCGATTGGAGAAACTAAAAAATGTCATTCATAAAATATTTTCCAAGTTTGGGAAAATCATTAATGATTTTTATCCAGAGGAAGACGGGAAGACAAAAGGGTAAGTAATGCCCTCTCATTGAAGTGCTGTTGGCCTTTTTCCTTGGTGTATGTGACACCCCTGGTGATCTGGTTGTCAGAGTTCACAGTGACACAGCACATGCCTTGATGTAGCCACTCGCCTCAGGCATTATGCGGGCCACCCTTAGCTACCAGCCCTGTGGAGCAATGATACGGTCTTGGGGTTATCATATTGAGAGAAGGAAATCTAAGTTTGCTTGTTATATTAAGATACTACCAGTTGGCTACTAAATTGTTAAGAAATCAGAGTTAGATATTTAAGTCTTTTGCTATCAGAACAGTAATTGACACAAGATACATCCTGAGTAGAGGGACCTACTTATTTGAAAACTGGCAGAATTTAGGAAAATTTTACATACGGCTTTTTATTGATTCTAAGATACATTTACCTTTTTTTTAGATTTATTTTTTATACAAGAGCTGGGGTACATTCCAGAGGCACGGGAGGGTGAGAGGATTCACCAGAGACAGAGCCGGGAGTAGAACAGGCAGATGACCGTAATACACTGTTGAGGGGAGCAGCTAGCCCAACCGAGAGGTCTGCCATGCCATGTGGGAATCTCCCTGGCCAGCTGGGAATCAAACCCACTCTACAGATGCTGCGGACAGCTTCACAGTGCTGTGTCACTGGGGAGGCCCTACATTTACTTTTTTATGCTTTAACATGTGAAATGGTTTAGGTGAAAGCAACTTTTTTAGTATTACCTAACTTAATGCGTCTTTTTAAAATAGTGGCAAAAAGTATGTGTCCTGAAATCTGCTTTTTCAATTCAGTATTCTTTGTTGATTGATAAAATTCTAATTCCTTTATTTTAAATGCTGTGGTAGTCTATTACATACAGCAGTTTATCTGTTTTTCATCTATTAACATTCAGTATTTTGGAATTAAAAACAATATAGTACCTACTCACTTCCAAGCTAGTGGGAGAGATTCGTTATTGTACATACCTGGGAATGGAATTCTGGAGCTCTGTGAAATGCCTGTCATTGTATTGCCACTCAGCAATGTCAGGTTGTGCTCTCCAGGGTGCTTGTGGGTTTATACTCTAGCTGGAAGTTTGGGAGCCTGTTGTTGCTCCACGTCTTGTCAAACTTCATCTATTGAAGTTTCTCGTATGTAGCATCCATTAAGAGTATAAGCAAGGGCCTCCCTCCCAGGTGGCGCAGGGGTTAAAGTCTCAGCACTATCAAGCTAATGCCAGCCACTGTGGTATTAGATCGATATCCGGCCAGGGAGCTAACCCACATGGCGCAGCAGACCTCTCCTGTCTCACCCACTGCTCCCCTCAACAGTGTATTTCAGTAGATCTGCCTGTTCTCCCCACTCTGTTTCTGGTGAATCCTCTTACCCCCTGCATCTCTGGCCTATACCCCAGCATTTGTGTGCATAAATAAATAAAAATAAATCTTTAAAAAAAAAAGTACAAGCAAAATTGTCTTTTTATAGACAGGAATAGGATGATTTTTTAAAGCAGATTTTGGGAACTACCTATAATAGTTCAGTTTCTGAAACGATTATGAAATCCATGTAATGTTTCTGATACATTCTGTTTCTAGAACTAAGTGGAAAGATGGCCTCCTTTGACCAGCAATTGCTTATGTTGTGTTTTTTATTATAATGAAACATCCTCTGAGAATCTTTGCAGTTTTGCCTGTAATGGGTAATGTTAGACTACACGTTTTAGAACAGTTCTGTTGAGATTACTGACTGCCGCAGACCAGCTTTCGGCAAAATGTCGTGTCAGGAGTCCCTGAAAGGATGAGATGGACTAGGAGAAACATTAAGGGCTGAGGGGAAGGGGATGAGGTAGTGAGGAGACACCGACACTCGATGAGGTGCTAGTATCTTCTACTGAGGGTCTCAGCAGGTCTGTCTATTCATTTTTTGCAAGCAGTGAGATGACATCATCATATGCATAGACGCAAAGCAGAAACAATCAGTGTATTCTTTTCCCATAGACTTTTGGCTACTACGTGCTCTCAGCAAGAAGGCAACCTTCAAGGTTAATAGATAAAAAACTAAGCCTTACGCTAAAACTCATTATTTCAGCTAGACAATTACCTAAGACAGTTGATAGCCGCCAGTACACCCCTATCAGCTAAAGCCTAAGCATCCAAAGACTCTTCTATTCATATGGCCTTCAGCCAGAGACCAGCTGCTTCTCAGCTATCAGAACTTTTTCTACCTAGAAACTCCTTAACACAATTAACTTCATTTAAAAACGTTCTTAAGAAATGTCAAAAAAAAAAAAAGCAAAAGAAGGACTTAACGATAATCGTCCTGGATTGCTTGTCAGGCATGTTCATGTTTAACAAACTCTTTCCCATTGTCAGGCAGGCCAAATTTACAGTGTTTAATTTTTAAGCAGGTAATTCTCCGTGCCATGTGCTTATAATATCCTTATACTTTATTGCCCAATGTGTTTTCTGAGAAGTTTTTTCTTATATGGCCAAGAACAAAAAACAAAGGGATGTTGAATCTTCAGCCCCACGGTGTGAGGCACAAGGAATCTTCAGCCCCACGGTGTGAGGCTGTTTGGATATCTTCAGACCCACGGTGTGAAGCCCTTTTCTTAGCTGCTTGCAAGTGTCTTACCTGGCTGGGGCAGCAAGGCCCCCTGCAGCAACTGACATATAATAGACTTGTATAATTTAAAAAAATACAATTTTGTAAATTTTGATAGATATGTCCTTAAAACTGTTAAACAGTGAAGATGAGCATTTTTGAATGATCAGCTTTTCTGTAGTTTATGATTCTGAAGTTCAGAGATTTTGGCTCTTTCATTAGGATTTCATTTTTGTGTAGGGAACTACTTTGCTGGTAATTGAGTAATTGAGATATACATGGCAGTATGGTGGGTTTCAGAAGCTTCCAGTGTTTACAGCTTGTGTAGAGAGGACTGGGTGTTTTGAGCATGACCAGCTTAATCCTAAAGTCTGCATTTGTGCAAATCATTCTCCCATTTCAGGTACATCTTCCTGGAATATGCGTCTCCCGCGCATGCCTTGGATGCAGTGAAGAATGCTGATGGTTACAAGCTTGACAAGCAGCACACATTCCGGGTCAACCTTTTCACTGACTTTGACAAGTGAGTTCAGACTTGTGCTTTGATAACCTGGAGACTCCTATGATTGGAAAGGCTCAGTATTTGTGGGGTAAGATGTGATGAGTGGCTTTCCAGGTAGTCTTTTTTTGGTCAGACCACTGTAGGACCATTCTATGTCCCTGTCCCCTTATATTCCCAGCTGTGGCACACCTCTCTTAACAACGTCCCCTCCCATTTATCCTGTGTCTTTTGCCCCCTCTGGGGGAGGGCACAGCACTGCCTGTAGTTGAGGACTGCAGGATAGTAAGCACCTGTTCACTAACCATTACAACAGTGTGCCACTAAACCCATTTGTTCTCTCTTCCAGGTATATGACTATCAGTGATGAGTGGGATATTCCTGAGAAACAGCCTTTCAAAGATTTGGTATGTTGTGTGAAGTCTATACAAATAATTAGAAACGCTGGGTAATCTCTTGGCTGGAGGTGAACAATCCTCCAGGAGTTAGAGGTGCCAATTGAATTCGTTACAACTGTAAGCAGTAAATTAGGAGTCAGTTTTCTCTAGTTAAAATTAATGAAATGTCTTCTCTCTTGCCTTTGGTTCTTTTTCCAGGGAAACTTGCGTTACTGGCTTGAAGAGGCAGAATGCAGAGATCAGTACAGTGTGATCTTTGAGAGCGGGGACCGCACGTCCATATTCTGGAATGATGTGAAAGACCCTGTTTCAATTGAAGAGAGAGCGGTGGGTGTCTACTGCTTGTGGAGGTTCACTTCTCTGTCCTTGACCAAAGGGATTTGGGGTGCAGGAGCAGGTGAAGTGACATGTTCTTGATTACATCTGAGAACTTCTTTTATTCTTCCAGTTTTGAAATTAGTTATATGAGTAGATTTTTTGTGTTTCTCAATTAAGAGCATAAAGATGATCTCACTCGTAGCAGGAATTTAGAAAACCTAAATAAGGGACCAGGAAAAAACCTAGTTCTAGTAAAGTGAAAATCAAAATCAACAAGCAGTTATAAACCAGAGACACACTGCGGGACGAGGGAATAGGTGGGAATTGTATGGGAACTATAACCAAGATGAAAATGCATACATTGTGCAAAAATGAAAAATGATGTAAAAATGTATAAAATAAAATATATATTTAAAAAAGAAATACGTAAATTAAAAAAAAAGCATAAGAAGCAAATTTCTTACTTGCTTTTAAAGGACTCTTTGCCTTGGTTTTCTTGTGGTGTGTTAGTGTTGGCACTGACTTTTTTCCCCCTCAGAGATGGACAGAGACATATGTGCGTTGGTCGCCTAAGGGTACCTACCTGGCTACTTTTCATCAACGAGGCATTGCTCTTTGGGGAGGAGAGAAATTCAAACAAATTCAGAGATTCAGCCACCAAGGGGTTCAGCTTATTGACTTCTCACCTTGTGAAAGGTAAGCTGTTAGAAAAATGCACATGAACTCTGTTCTTTCTACCTCCTGCTAACCTTCTACAGATAATTTTAAAACCTTTTTATTTTGAAGTCATTGCAAATTTAATGGAATAGTTACAGGAAGAGTACAAAACACTTCTAGTTAACATTTTGTTGCTTTATCAGAGTCTTTCTCCAGATACACAAACTTGATTTTCCTCCTGAGCCATTAAGTAGTAAGTGAAATATGATGACCCTTCAGCTCACATGTGTATTTCTGAGAAACAGGAAATTGTCTTCTATAACCATAGTGTAGTTATTAATTTCTGAGCATTTAATGTTTACTTATTTAATGTATTTCCACATTCCAGTTAGTTATTTGCTTCTGTAATGTTATTTTAAAAACTTTTTCCCTTCAGTTCAAGGGTCTGGCCTCAAATCATGTATTTTGCAGATGTAATTTTCCTGTGAGTGAATTTTTCTCATTTGTTAGATTTCCATGGAGCAAAGGTTTTATGTGAGGAGTCGGACCTGAGGAGCCTGGGGGAGCACTGCTCTGGCCACACGGGGTCCTTCCTGTCTCCTGTCAGTGCCCATGTCAGCGTAGGACTTGACGCTCCTGCTTTCCGCATTGCTAGTGCTTTCTGACTTTCTGTGGATGCGGTCTGCAGCAGCTCAGCATCTTGCCTTGTGACCTGGGTTCCTTGTGAGACTCGATGAAGCCCTTGTGCCACAGGGCTCTTGGTACTGCACCTTTTCTTTCAAATTTGTAGTATAAAATTTTTCTAGCACATGAAAAACTAAAGAGAATTGTAGGTAGTAACATCCATATGCCAGTCACTGTTTAACTTGCTATAGTGGCTTCAGAAGTTTTTGAGTAAGTTGAAGTCAGTGGTACAAAAGTAAAGTATGCATGGCTACAGAAAAGCCGTGCCTTGGCAGTCATATTCCCACATGTAACAGGGATAGCAGTTTAATACTATCTAATACCGATAGGTATGTCCCCCTTTCATCCCTGAATAGCCTTTATTTATAGGCAGTTCTGATCTGGATCCAGTAGGGTGTTCATGTTGTGTTTGATCCTGGTGCCTGTTAAATCTTTTTTTATCTTAGTGAACACATCCTTCCCTGTTCATTTATTTCGATGTTGACTTGTTCAGAATACCAGACTGGGTGGCTTGGTCTGCTTCAGGATTGGTCTGCTTACTTAAACTTCATGGTTGGTCTGCTTACTTAAAAATATAACACATTTCTATGATCTTGTACTCTAGCTGATGAGTATTTAATTTTGATAAAGTGACTCTTAAGTTTTCTTTAATGCACAACCACTTTTTGTGCTTGGTGCAAAATAATTGATACTGCTCATTCCAGCAGTATCTGCACTAGATTCCTGATCTCTGTGCCAGTGACTTGCAGGCTTCAGAGGTTGCTTCTTCATCTCCTGGGAGCCTTTCTCAGTCCTTCAGGAAGTTAGTTCCACATGCATGCTCACAGATATTGTTTATGTTGTAAAACATGACTATGTTAAGTTGTAGTGTATCAGCTTACACATTGCTCACTCAGGAGCAGAGACTGGACTGTCTCTTACTGTTGTATCCCTGGCATGTTGCAAAGCACCTAATGTGTGACATGCTTGAATGAATGTATGAGTGAATGAACACTTTGTATAACAGTGTGAAAAAACTTTTTTTCCATACACACACACACACATGATTTATTTTTATGTATGCACACAAGAACTGCAGTTTAGGCCAGAGGAGGGGTGAGGAGGAGGATTCATCAGAGACAGAATGGGGAGCAGTACAGGTGACTCTACTGAAATACACTGCTGAGGGGAGCAGTGGGTGAGACAGGAGAGGTCTGCTGCACCATATGGGTTAGCTCCCTGGCTGGGGATCGAACTCATGGAGCAATGGCTGGCAATAGCTTGATAGCCCTGAGACTTTAACCCCTGTGCCACAGGGAGACCTGAAAAAACTTTTTCAATTAAGTGCTGTAGTTCAAGGGTAGTTTTATTGTGTCCTTTCCAGGTGTATAGCATAGGTCCAAATAGGGAATTTTATGTTGTGGGGGGAGATGATGCCTCATTTTTAATCTAGCAAATCAGTATGGTAACCTCATGAGAAAAAGATGTACTCGTGGAAGCCCTGTCAAGAAGCTGCTTGTGTTGTGCTTGCTTCTGCATTTTCTAGATCCACTGTTACAAGAGAGCAGTCTGGTTTGGATAGTTGTCCTTTATATACCCAAGTGTAGACAAGCTAACAGTTAGAGTGGTTGCTGGGGGAAACTGGCATAGAAGTGCCTTGTCAGTCAGCGTTGTTTTTGAATTGCATGTGGCCATCGGTTCTGTTTATCTGCCATCTGAATTAAACATCATAGAGCTGATGTAAGAGAATTCCTCACCGCTGCTTCCACTAGAGCCCATGAGCAGACTTGTTTGGAATCTGTTGGATTTGTTCCTGTCCTGATTTTAGTGGTGAGGCTTTGGAGTGCCCTGGTACTATGGAAGTGGTTCCTTTCCATTTTGGTGGGATCTCTGGAATGGAACTGTGCTGATGGGAGAGTGTGCCAGGGAAGCCTGGGAATTTGGTTGTATGAGTCTTCACTGCTTGTTCTGGCCTCACCTGTGATTGCAGGAACCTTTGTACAACATGGGTTCAAGTACTCGTTATAGCCACATAGTAGATAGATGGAGGTGGGAAGGAAATCCTAACTATTGTTTCTATTGTTACAGATATCTGGTGACTTTTAGCCCTCTGATGGACACACAGGATGACCCGCAGGCCATCATCATCTGGGACATTCTGACCGGACAGAAGAAGAGAGGTTTTCACTGTGAAAGCTCAGCCCATTGGCCTATTTTTAAGTAAGTGGACAGGTGATAGCTAGTGATGACCTCTTTGTAGTTGCTGCCCTCCCCCCCCCCCCATAGCCTTGCACTTCTTTTTTTCTGTCCTAGGTGGAGTCATGATGGCAAATTCTTCGCCAGAATGACAATGGACACACTCAGTATCTATGAAACTCCGGTAAGTCATTTAATTACCTGAACTTTTTTATTTAAGATTCATTTATTTATGCATGCAAGAACTGGGGTAAGCCAGAGGTGTGGGGGCTGAGAGGATTCACCAGAGAGAGTGGGGAGCAGAACAGGTAGATCTAGTGAAATACACTGCTGAGGGGAGCAGTGGGTGAGGCAGGAGAGATCTGCTGTGCCTTGTGAGTTGCTCCCTGACCAGCTGGGGATCAAACTCAACTCATATTGCAGTGGCTGGCGATAGCTTGATAGTGCTATCTTTTAACCCCTGCACCACCAGGGAGGCCCTTTCTTGAATATTTTCTGATTTGAACTACTTGAAGATGGAGTGCTTTCCTTAATTTGTAGTATTTTTAAGGAAGAAGGGCTTTATACATGCCAAGTGAAGGCATAGGATATTGGATTTTGATCTTTTTCAGTCCCCTTCGCTGCTGCTGCAGAGAATCAAGGATGGGAGAAAATGAAATGATCTCAGTAGTGTATTTTTTTTTTTTTTTTTAAAGATTTATTTATTTATTTATACAAGCACTGGGTACAGTCAGAAGCGCGGGAGGGTGAGAGAATTTACCAGAGCCAGAGCGGGAAGCAGAGCAGGCAGAAGGACTGAAGTACGCTGCTGAGGGGAGCAGTGGGCAGCAGGAGAGGTCTGCGGGCCATGTGGGACCCTCCTCCGGTGGCCGGGGAGCAGCCGGGGATGGAACTGGCACTGCAGGGGCTGCGCCACCTGGGAGGTCCAGTAGTGTATTCTTAACTGCTATAGGTGGATTGTTACATTGTTCATCTCAGCAGCTTTGCTTATGCTGCTCTCTGGCAAGCTCACATCAGAATCTCTCTCCTTTTTTTTTTTTTTGTCAAAAGTGTATGCATTATGGAGACTTTGCCCTGATTTAACTTGACTTTTTTCCTACCCTACAGTCTATGGGTCTTTTGGACAAGAAGAGCTTGAAGATATCTGGCATAAAGTAAGTGACCATTCCCATCAAGTCAGTGAGTAAGCAGTTGTTAAAGTCAGGAAACACTTGTCCTTATAGAACTTGTCCTTCTAGAAACACAGGACTGTGCATAGACCTGCGTCCACCTCTCACTTGGCAGTTTGTTAGCAGGTTTCCACTCCCAGCCCTCACCCTCACGTTTCCCCTTCTTGCACATAAGACATCTTGATGGCTGTGGAGTGTTGGGCTTCTTTCCTCTCATAATCTCTGTCTTGGAACCAGAGACTTGGGGTGCAGTCTTTGAGGAAGAGGGGGCTCTACTTGGTTGAGAGGTCATCTGTGAGATAGGGTGCAGATCGCCATTAGTGAATTGAAGCTCATCTTCACTGGCAAGGAGTAGACATTTTGTTTGACATCTCAGAGTTAGTTAATCTTTTCCCAGGAAAGTGTCAGTAGAGCAGGGACATTCACGTTTCTTATTCTTGTTTAGTTTTATATTCTTGGAGAAAATTGGCTTATAATTAAAATTAAGGTCAGGAATTGATTCTTTATAAACCCAGGTAAAGATGGTGTTTATATATCTGAGCAGGTGAATTTTTCACTCAGCTTCGACCTTTTAGGGTAATTTACAGTAGAGGAAATTGCCCTAACTCTTATTAATTCTCTTCCTTCTTAATCTTTTTGTTTGGGGCTTTTACCCTTCTTGTATCTTAATGAGTTCATCAATCATATAACTGGGTTATCAGCCTAAAAAATACTTTATTTGGCTTATAGCATCAGGATGTGGTGGTCAGGATGTGGAGTATCAGAACCTGGTGTGAGTCCTGACTGGTCTGCCGGGTGACTGGGTGGCATTGTGAGCCCCTCTCACAGAGTAAATATTTTATCATGATGGGTGTAATTTTAATCATATCAAATACTCCTATGTCTTTACCAGCACTGCGTTTCAGGTCTAGGAAAGGGAGGGCCCCTGTGGCGAGAGCTCAGTACTCTGCTACTGCTGTTTTTGGTATAAATACACCAGAGTGGACCTCTGATTTAGCTCTTGGGCCTAACTACAATCCTTTTATCATCACTTTGCCATTCCTGTATAACATTTGATTTTCTTTGTTCTACAGAGACTTCTCTTGGTCTCCTGGTGGAAACATAATAGCCTTTTGGGTGCCTGAAGACAAAGATATTCCAGCCAGGGTAACCCTGATGCAGCTTCCCACGAGACAAGAGATCAGAGTTAGGAATCTTTTTAATGTTGTGGATTGCAAACTACATTGGCAAAAAAATGGAGATTACTTGTGTGTTAAAGTAGATAGGACGCCAAAAGGTACCCAGGTGAGTGGATGCCAGTGGGCACAGGCCATTCTTTCTACGTTGTTCCTACTCAGTCTGCATTTGGAACCTGGTGTAATGAGTTTTGTGGTTCCAATTTATGGGTTATTTTCAGATTCACCTGATACCAAAAGTAGTTAGCTGGCATGTCATAACTGAGAGCTCTTGTCACGTTCTGACTGAGGAGTATAGTTTTTGAATGAAATTTTTGGAGTGAGTAATACTTTGGCATAGTTGGAGTTAACAAGGGATATAGTAGAATCTCCTCCAGACACTAGCTTTTCTTTTGGCAGTTAAAATGAATGTTTTCTTTTTAATCTTTTTTCTAAACACAATAAATAACATGTTTAACAGCTCTGTACTCATATTTTTTGTTATCATTAATATTTATTGCTCCCTCCCAAAAATGCCCGATTTTTCCTTCTAATAAAAATAAATATTCCTTTTCCCTTTACAAAAGGACATTCTAGAGACATAATTTATGTGCCATAAAATTCACCCCTTTACAATTTACAGTTCAGTGACTTTTTAGCACATTTACAAGTTTGGGCAACCATCATCATTATCTTTTTTTTTTTTTAAAGATTTATTTATTTATGCATACAAGAGCTGGGATACAGTCCTGAGATGGGTGGGGGGGTGAGAGGATTCACCAGAGACAGAGTGGGGAACAGAACAGGCAGACAGACTGAAACACACTGCTGAGGGGAGCAGTGGCTGAGACAGGAGAGGTCTGCTTCGCCATGTGGGTTTCTCTCTGGCCGGCTGGGGATCGAACTTGTGCTGCAGAGGCTGTGGACTGCTTCATAGTGCAGTGCTTAACCCCTTGCACCACCAGGGAGGCCCCATCATCACTATCTTAATTCCAGAACATTTTACCGCTCCATAAAGGGTCCCATACCCATTATTCCCCATGCTCCACAGTCCCCTAAAACCCTTGTTCCCAACATCCACTAATGCGTTTTGTCTCTGCATTTCGTATTCTGGATATGTTGTATGAATGGAGTCATATAGTATGCGACTTCGTACCTGCTTCCTTCACTGAGGATCATGTTTTTAAGGTGTATCTAGGATGTGGCTAGTGTCAGTGCCTCATTCTCTATGGCTGAGTAAATTCCATTGTGTGATAGTATGACCGTGCTGATCCATTCATCTTAATGTTTTCATCCAGTACTGAGTCCTGCTTTTACACAGAGTGTATCTACATGTTCATACTTTTCCTTGATAATCAGTCCCTGGTGCTGGACCTTTAGAGCACACTGCAGAAGTTTTGCAGAAAAGCTGTAGTGTGGATCCTTGAAACTATTTGTACTTATGAGTATTAACTGTAGGGCTGTTCTTTGAAAAAGATTCTGGACCAGAGAGAGTATCCAGTTCCTTCCCACAGAGCCTGCAGATTTCTACCTTTGTCAGCATAAGGGATTCTTGTTTTATCATGATGGGTTTATTTTAATCACAGTAAATACTCCTAAGTCTTTACCAAGTCTATAAATGTAATCTTTTATCAAATCCTTGGATGTCCTTTATGACTTTGTGTTTTCAGTTTCCAGAATGTCACTCTTCCCCCTTTTTTTTTTTAACAGGGTGTTGTCACAAATTTTGAAATTTTCCGAATGAGGGAAAAACAGGTACCTGTCGATGTTGTCGAAATGAAAGGCAAGTTCTGTTGTAGTCTTGGGAGTGCAGATGCTTGTTATGTGCCGAGTGCTATGTTTGAGCTTTAGAACTTTAGTGTGAATTGATTGCTTAGAGACTGAACTCTCCCGCTGAATAGTTAGCTGCTTCACATTGCAAATGTGACTCAGTTCAGAATTTTCTTCTGTCCTCTACAACTTGTCTTAAGCTTGCCAATAACTAAGTGAAGACACCCCATTCTTTTTCACACCACTGTGACCAACTTGTATAGCAGAGGGGAAAAGGTGCAAAGAACAGGTTTTCATTAGGCAGTCAATGTCAGGCAGCAGAAGAGCTTTTCATTTTTATGTACTAAAGCTTCAATTTCATAGATCCTTTTTTGTTTTGGATCATTAAACTCTTCAGATGCTGTGTTTCTGTTTTTAGATGGGAAATTTCACTTTTATTTATTTTTTTTAAAGATTTATGCATACAAAAACAGGGTGTAGGCCAGACGTGGGGGGTGGTGGTGAGAGGATTCACCAGAGGCAGAGTGGGGAACAGAACAGGCAGATTTACTGAAATACACTGCTGGGGGGAGTAGTGGGCGAGACAGGAGAGGTCTGCTGCACTATTCCCTGGCCGGGGATCGAATGCAGGTTGCAGTGGCTGACGATAGCTTCATAGTGCTGACACTTAACTCCTTGCGCCACCAGGGAGGCCCTTATCTTTTATTTTAGTGTGACTTTATTTTTCTGGGAGGGGGCAGGTACAGAGATGGGAAAATGCAAACATGGCCACCTTCCTAGTGGCAATAAAATTCTATTGTAGGTACAGTGGTGAATGTTAGAAAGGGTTATCTGGGGCCATGCCTCATTAGTATCACCTCATGACCACTAAGGCACATAACTCATTTCATCTCTCAGGCATGACTTAACTGCGCCACTTTGGTACTCTGTGTAGTGTGCATCTTTGTTCCTGTACCTGCTTTATGACATTTAAATGAATTTCAGAATTTGGGACATTTCTCCGGTAGAATAATGACAGTTATACCTAGTCAGGGATGTTGTTTCTCTAAGTGACAAAAGAGAGAGGCTCATCCTTTTTTTCTTGATCGTAGAAACCATCATAGCTTTTGCTTGGGAACCAAATGGGAGTAAGTTTGCTGTTCTGCACGGGGAGGCCCCTCGGATATCAGTTTCTTTCTACCACGTGAAAAACAACGGGAAGATTGAGCTCATCAGTAAGTAACTGCACCCCACCTTGGGTAGATGGACGCACGTGATAGAATCTAGCCATGGGCAGCTGCTTGGGCCTGAGCATGCATCTGGCTATGTCCATGTGAATGGTATGTTTCCAGTGAATGACAGTGATGATAACGCTGGAAGGCGCGCTTTATAGCCACAGGAACATTCACATTTGTGGACCTGTGCTCTCTACCCCTCCTTTGGGATGATGAAGTCTTGTCTCTTCTTCTTACGACTATTGCTGTTCTTTCTCTCTGGTCTCGGGGGGCCACGTGCCTGTCTCTTGGTCCGGATTCTTTGGTTCCCACCCTCGTTCTGCTCTGCTTGCAAGGGCCCTGCCCTTTGCAGTGTTGGCAGCACTAAACTGCTCCTAGTCCAGATGGGCCTGCTCCTTTCCCCAGTGTATACTGTGCTTACTCATCCTGTGTGGTCAGTGCTTATCAGCACATGGATGTCCCCAGTGAACATGGTGCTGGATGCCGTTGTTGATTGCTTCATAGCATCTCTTCCATGTGGTGGGAAGTGGTAGGGACCGCTTGTGTCCCCCAGAGACGTGGCTGCACTCTAGCCAGACGTATCCTGGCTGCTTTGCATTGCCTTTTTACCGTGAAGATAGTGTGCTAATCCCTGTGTCTTAGAGCAGCTTGTGCCCCAGGAATGGCTTGTACAGAAATAGTTCTGTAAAAGGCGTAAGTTGCCACTTCTTGACATGTGTAGTAATTTAGTGATAGAATCAGTTGACTGTCACAGAACTGATTGTATCATTTTTTTTTTTTTAAAAGATTTATTTATTTATTTATTTATACAAGCACTGGGTATAGTCAGAGGCGCGGGAGGGCGAGAGAATTCACCAGAGCCAGAGTGGGGAGCAGAGCAGGCAGAAGGACCGAAGTACACCGCTGAGGGGAGCAGCGGGCGCAGCAGGAGAGGTCTGCGCGCCATGTGGGACCCTCCTCCGGTGGCTGGGGAGCAGCTGGGGATCGAACCGGCACCGCAGAGGCTGCGGGCAGCTTCGCAACCCAGCGCTCAACCGCTGCGCCACCGGGGAGGCCCTGATTGTATCATGTTTTTGATATGAAAGTGACAGAGACATCTGTAGACTCTCAGAAGACTTTAAGTCACATCTTGTTATAAAATAGATTTTGAAACAGCAAGTAAAAATGCCTTTCACCTCCTGAGTGGTCTGCATTGGACACCTTTCTTGAGGAGTCAGTGTAATTCCCTTGTGCCCATGTCGCAGCGGTTAGTGTTTCAGGAAACTTGGTCAAATAAGTTTTCTTTTGTTTGCTCTAAGAATCCTACTCCCACAAGGTGGTAAGGCCTTTATCATGTCCTCTTTCTTTCTGCGCCACTCACATTTCTTTAAATCAATTATGGATAGAAGGAATGTGCCCCAGATGTTACTTCGGTGCATTCTCTTGAGTGAAGAGACCCTGAGTCACTGCACAGGGGCCTGTCAGGGAGTAAGCAATTAAGAGTATTTGCAGAGATGATGGGTTTAAGTTTCTATGGACATACAGTTTAGGGAGATGCTTAGCTCAACTAAAAGAATGGATTTTAGGGTTTGTTTTTTGTCATACCTTTGAGAATCTTATGGAGGCTGGGTTTCTTCCCTGGTTGAAACTGCATGTTTATTTTAAGTGGATCTTTTTTCTTTTTTTTTTTTTTAAGATTTATTTTTGTTTATTTATGCAAAGAAGAACTGGGGTGTAGGACAGGTGTGGGGGTGGGGTGAGCGGATTCATCAGAGACAGAATGGGCGGCAGAACAGGCAGATCTACTGAAATACACTGCTGAGGGGAGCAGCCAGCAAGACAGGAGAGGTCTGCTGCGCCATGTGGGTCAACTCCAGGCCAGGGATCAAACTCATGCTGGATTGCTTCATAGTGCTGAAACTTAACCCCTTGGACCACCAGGGAGGCCCCTGTAAGTAGATTCTTTTATCCAATTAATTCGTGATGTGTAGATGGTTTCATATATGAAACATTAAAATCAGTATTGTAGCTTTAGACTTCTTGGCCCCCTCATTTTTAAGTGTAGGCTATTATTGAAGGTGTATTTAAATGATAGATGTCCTGAAACAGTGGTCACAGGTACAGATAGGTCTGGAATATAGAGTTCCGGCTGTAGGTTTATTGTTACCAGAGATACACAATGAGGGCAGGGTGAGCCCATAGCCATGTCCTTCAGTCTGGTCTGCACCTTGACTGTTGAAGCTTTACAAAGATTTTTAATAGGTCCTTTCTTTCCTTTCAGAAATGTTTGATAAACAGCAGGCAAACACCATCTTTTGGAGTCCCCAGGGGCAGTTTGTGGTGTTGGCTGGTCTAAGGAGGTAGGTGCCTGCCTTCTACTCAGTGTGAGAGGCCCTAACCTTTGAGCCTTGTGTCTCCTGCCTGGGTTCTGAATGGTGACTGTAGTGCTCCAGTCCTTGAGTACTTGGGAGAGGGCCTTTTCTGTGGAAGGGTCTTAACCAGTTTCCAGATATGGCACATATCAACCTGTGGTGTCTCCATCCTGCTCCCCGGACTTGACCAAGGCCAAGCAGGTTAAAACAGGCAACAGACAGCTTTCAGTGCTGTCTTGAAGACACAACTATGTGTTGTAATTCCTTTCTAAGCAAGTGCTCTTGCTGGCCATCAATTATCCTAATGTGGGAAGACTAATAGGCCTGCGCTGTCCGTCCTCAGGTGGCTGGTATAATCCAGAGAACATACAAACTCACCTTTCACATATTCCCTGCTTAGTTGCTGTTCCAACAAAATGTATAGAAATCTTGAAGAATTTGCTGCAGTATCTTGGTTCTGCATTAGAGCACCCTCAGTTGCTTATTTCTCCTTCACGAAGGCCCCACTTATAGAAATTTTGGGGGCTTAGCCTCAGATAATCTTTCCTCTGAACATAGCAATAGCAGACAGCTATGCTCGCCACGTGCACTTCATGGATTTTAATTCACAACATCCTTGGGAGATGGGTGATACTTATGTGTTATAACCACAGTAACAAGGCTGTGGTTAGGGGACACTTGAGGCTCCTGATCCATGTGCTGAGCCCTACCCCTTAATGAGTGGGAATGCCAGAAAAGCTTCTGCAGAAATTGAGTTTCTTACTTAGATTGACTCTGCCTGTTTCTCCTCAGCATGAACGGTGCCTTGGCATTTGTGGACACGTCAGACTGTACAGTCATGAACATTGCAGAACACTACATGGCCTCTGATGTTGAATGGGATCCTACTGGGCGCTATGTTGTCACCTCTGTGTCCTGGTGGAGCCATAAGGTATGCAGACCCGTGTAAACTAAAACCTCTGTGCAGTGTGAAACCAGGCCGTACCAGGCAGGCAGATGACGTTTTACTTCAGGAAGAGTGCCAAGCATGGTATTAACCTCTTCCCTCCCAATCCTTAAGGAGTGGGCATTGCTGTTAACTTGTTAGTTGGTTGATATTTTCTGCCCAGCCAACCGATCACCTGAGACTGCCAGCCTTTTCTATAAATAGGTTGCATTCCTTGATTTCTCTCTCATCATTTGTCAGCTGCCTCACCTGCCACCTGTTCTAGTTAGACCAGCCTGCCATCCTCTGGTGCAGTAGCCAGAAAAATTTTTAAAGTGAAAATCAATCTGCGTTCCCAGTCTGCAAAGTGCTACTGCGGTTTAAAATGAACCGAATTGCTTACTGTGGCCTGGAAATAGAATGAGGATACATCCTGGTTTCTAAATGTTTTTCCAGTGTCATCATTTTCCTTTTAAAAGCTTCACGGTGTGGATAATAATTACCTGGTTGCCAGCCTGTATAGCTCTTTGTGGTACAGCCTTTGCTGGCTCTGATTGTATCTCCTGCTTGTCTGTTCCCTGAGTGGAGGCCACACTGACCTTGAGTTCCCATGCTTGCCCCTGCCTCTTGGCTTCTGTGTTCTTCCACCACCTGAAATATAGTTCCCATGTGTTTGGGGTCTCCTGTCTCAGGTGTCCCTAAGCTCATATCTGTAGCGGCTCCCCACCAGGGCAGCCGCTGTATCATCTCTAATTTTTCATGGAGCTCAGGATGATATGAATTCATTTTAGGTAATTGAGTGCATTGTCTCCTTTTCCTGCTGGAATAGAACACTGTGAGGGCGAACACCTTTTTTCTTGCTCTGATTTGAGCGCACTGCCTGGCATTGTCATGGTACAGTCAGGTTTTGCTGATTGAATGAATTGGCATGCAAGACTCTGTTTGCTATTCATGTATTTACTTTGAAATGATCATCACCGCTCTCTTGCGCAGTTGACTTCAGAGTGTGTCAGTGGACCACAGAGGATTCTGGAATTGCAGAGGAAGGTTTGGGCAGGCACATGTCTGGTACCCAGTAGTGAGGGAGCTTCTTTTTCTGTGACCTGTGAACTCACTGGAAGTGCACGAAAAATGTATTTGTGCAAGTTTTTTTCTCAGGCCAGAATCCATTTTTCTCTTTAGCATCTCAAAAAAGAACTTGAAAAAATTCAGAAATTCTGTCCTCTGTGGGGATGTACGTAGTGTCTGCAGGCCACTGTTTTTTTCCAGCATTATTTGTAAACATTACTACTCCCAGAGTGATGGAGAAGTTTGCTCTGGGGATTTCTTTCTATATTGAATTACATTAATTGATTGAGGTATTGACAGGTGAACCTGCTCATGCATGTAAAGCGCCAGTGAGGTCAAATTAAGGTAATTCTCTTTTACAAAATAATGAACTTGGGCCTCCCTGGTGGTGCAACAGGTGAAGACACAGCCTATGAAGCTGTCTGCACACGAATTCGATCCCCGGCCAGGGAGCTACCCACATGGTGCAGCAGACCTCTCCTGTCTCGCCCACTACTCCCCTCAGCAGTGTATTTCAGTCAGTCTGCCTGTTCTGTTTCCCACTCTGTCTGTGGTGAATCCTCTCACCCCCCCACCTCTGGCTTACACCCCAGTTCTTGTATGCATAAATAAATAAATCTTTAAAAAAAAAAAAAAAGAACTTGCAGAAACACGGTCTTAAAAATAGCACTGGAAATGTCAGTATTTAATCTTGATTGTGACTGTATCCTAATTTGTTCAAATATTGCCTCAGTGAAACCCACCTTGGATCTCTCTTTTGGACTGACCACTCTGTTAAATTGCTGCTCTGCACAGCCTTCACTGGAGAGTGAAACCAGGCCTCTCTTTCTTTATTGAGAAAGTCTCAAACAGTTGAGTGACAGTGTGTGCTGATGTAATTCTTTATCACAGACCAGTAGTGAAAGGCCTGTGTTTTGTTTGCAATTTCTGTGTGCTGCGCTTTACTATGTAACTCTCCACAATCTCCTATTTGCTGTCTTCTCTGCTGAGTGGGAGTTTAACAAAGGCAGAAACTTGTTTTTGCTCACCCATTTCTTCCAAATGCCCATGACTTTGTCTGACTCTCAAGCATTTGTTAATAAATCAAGTAGTTCTGTTGATTCTGTTGACATTAGAGACTCTTAGATTCTCTGCATCTCTTGTGAAACTTGCTGGGGTGAGCAGCTCAGTGTGACCTGGCTCTTTTAGGTGGACAATGCTTACTGGTTGTGGACTTTCCAAGGACGCCTTCTGCAAAAGAATAACAAGGATCGCTTTTGCCAGCTGCTGTGGAGACCTCGGCCCCCAACACTCCTGAGCCAGGATCAGATAAAGGTCTGGTGACCCAACCAGGTTAAGTAAGGGTGTGGAGTGATTGAGGAACTTAGAGGAAAGTTGTTCTTTTTCCCTGTTATTTTTAAGGTAGTAATAAGTGAATAATCAAAACATTGCATGTACAGAGAACCCTGTGAAGAGAGATGCAAAAATTATAAGAACATCTGTCAGTGCCTTGACTCATTTCAAATCCTTATTTATAGTCAAGTGTTATTTGACAGTATTACCTTTTGGTTGTAGTATCTGACTCATTGTTAGACTCAGTGCTAGCTAGTAGGTACAATTTTCCCTCACGTAGGCAGACAGGGAAATTCAAGTATAACTCTGTAAGAGTGACAGTAGGATTAAAAAAGAGAACAGTAAGAACCAAATTAAAAAAAAATGACAATTTCAAGGTAGTATGCTTAGATTTTCAGGTTATTTTGCACCACATCTGTACCATTTTAGGAAGTTTGTGTGAACTGGAGGTGCTATGAAAAAGTCCTGGTGGCATTAGAAGAGATAGCGTGGGATTTATATAACTGTGGTGAAATACGCAGGTGGTATTAAGTCAAAGCTGAGAGGAGAGTAAATCTGAGGAAGGCAAGCCGGTCTTACTCAGTGAAGTGCAGGCAGCACTGGTGCTAGAGAGCTCCTGGAGGCCGTCGTCTCACATTAGCAACTTTGAAGATTGTGTTTGTGGTTCTTGCTTTGGATGTTTAAATCCTGAGTGACTTGTCTTTGTTTCAGCAAATTAAAAAAGATCTGAAGAAATACTCCAAGATCTTTGAGCAGAAGGATCGTTTGAGCCAATCCAAAGCCTCAAAGGTCAGCCTCTGAGATAGCCCAAGATGGCCCCCATCCCTTGATGGACAGAGAGGAGCCAGTGCTGGCTGTGGGAAGGCAGGGCCGAGCGGGAACTGTCCCTTAGGGACAACTGCTTGGGGCTGCATTATGCCAGACCTGGCTGTAAACTTGGTGGCTGGCTTTTTAGATATCCGGGTGGGCGTGGGATAGTACAGTAATCCAGAAAGGTTGGTGGGTGGAGTAGGGCTATGTGTGATATTGGAAGAAAAGTGAAAACCAACATATTCCACCATTCCTGTTTTCATTCTCTAAATAGTAGTTCTCACCTCGCCTAGTGATTGGAGTTCCTTTGGTTAAGCAAAAACATCATGGAAAGTTAAGTAATGACTCTGCAACTTCCCCCAACTCTCTGCATAGGAATTGGTTGAGAGAAGACGAACCATGATGGAAGATTTCCGAAAATACCGGAAAATGGCCCAAGAACTCTATATGGAGCAGAAAAACGAACGTCTGGAGTTGCGAGGAGGTAACTTGATCAGCTGCAGATAGATTATTTTAATATTTGCTGAAATATTTCTCTTTTTGCATCTGTGTTAATTTCCTAGGTTTCTTAGTAAACAACAGGTGTTTGTTTAAAGATTCTTACAAAGAACTGAGTCTCCCCCTGCCTGCAGGTTCAAGTCCACATTCCTTGTGTTTGCACACAGCCTCTTGGCTGGTTTGGTGTGTGATCTCCTGAAGCTCCCTCATCTGCACCCTGCATAGCCCTTCCCCTCTATCTTCTCAGGTGTGGACACGGATGAGCTGGACAGCAACGTCGATGACTGGGAGGAGGAGACCATTGAGTTTTTTGTCACTGAAGAAATCATTCCTCTTGGGAATCAGGAGTGATCCGAGAGCACTGTGGTAAGACCCCAGATAGGAATAGCTAGTAGTCTGTTGGTTATTTTTTCTTTTTTGTTCTGTTACATTCGCAAGTTAGAGAATGTCTTAAGGTAACAAATGAACATCCTGTTTCATGTAGTCACAGTTAAAAGCTTTGCTCTTGAATTGTGGTCAGGTGCTGTTCTCTTGAGTGTTGGGGGCGAACTCTTTATCTGAAGGCTTTGCAGGGAGTGCTCCTTCAGAGCAGGGTTTGGCTGTGGCTGGACAGGCCAGGGCAGATTCTGGTGGTTGACATGTCTGGGGGAGAGTGAGGCTGTACTGCAGCATCTGCAGGTGTCCTTGCTAGAAGACCTCGGTATGTCCCACAGAAAGGTGGGCATTGCTAAATATCAACGGTGCCCAGATCTAGCAGGTCCAGTCTAGATCTGCTAGGTTACATGACAGCGTGAACAGTTGTTCTTTTGTTGCAGCGTTGCTGAATCGTGTGCCAGAACCAAGGTCATCCTTTTGCAGAAAGCCTGCACGACTCTGAATTTACCTGTGCGCTCTTGCTCTGGACTGTGACCACTCCTGAGATTCTCCATCTCCACACACTGCTGTGCCTTTTGACCCCTGGTATCTACAGTGGGGGTGGTGTTAAGGCACTGCTTTAAAACTTTTCTTGTTTGAGTTTTTTAATTCAGCACCACCAGTATTAGACTTCTTTGTGCAGTGCTGCGGTGGGCACCTTTCCCTGCTGCTATTGGTGGGATTCTGAGGTGCACCATCAGGGGGAGTGGCTTCTCTTTGCGGACTCACTGTTCCTTGGGCAGGGGCGAGTGTAGGAGTGTCCCAAACACCAGAGGGGAGCAGGCGCCACTCAGAGGGCTGTGTGCCCCACCATTCAGGTTGTGGCAGGTTCTCTCAACAGGCTGAACGTGGAAATAAAGCAAACCTGTATGAAAAAGCTGTCTTTCTCCTCTCTTTAAACATAGATAGTGGCCTTGAATTTGGTGCCTCTTGCCTCCTCCCCTGGCAGCACTCCTGGGCACCCAACATTCACCTGCCTTAGGCACACATGACAAGGAGGGAACATACAGCCTCCTGGTTTTCTGCGTTTTCAGCTGAGCTTTCTAAAGTGACGTGTTCGTCCAGGAGGCCCAGGAAACAACTGAGCAGTCTTTCTGTTTGTTTTCTGTGCTTGTCATTTTTCTGGATGAGAAAAAAATCCTTTAGACTTTTCCTTGGAGTTCTGCAAGTGTGAAGACTTACACTGAGATTTGTTTTAGCCAGTTGGTCCTCTTTCCATATTTACTACTTTTCCCCCACTGAGAAGGGAGTGAAATCCATGTGATACCAATCCAATTTTGTCTGCCAGGTCTAGATGACCGTTGGTGCCTTGTGAAGTTGGAGTTTCTTTCTCCTCTTTTACCTGCTGGGACCTGAAGCTTAGTTTAAAAAAACAGCAAAGCGCAGAACAACCACACTTTGAAATCAGACATCCACAAACCTAGAGACATCTCAGAATCGGAGGCTGACTGCCCTTGCTACGAGGCAGCGGTGCTGTGTGATCCTCGGCTGTGTGGTCGCGTGGCCAGCCTGGGAGTTGGCCTCAAGGTGGTCCCCTGGGTGAGAGGGCGGTGTTCAGCCTTGGCCCGTCCTGTCTGCTTTCTCTGCAGTTCCATCATTGTTGCATCTTGTCACGTAAGTGTCTTCATGCCTTCTGTGCACGTATTTACAGTAATTCGTTTCTGTTTTTTAAACCTCAACGTGCCACAATCTAGGATTTTTTTTTTTCCATTTCATGCCAGTAAGAAGAAATAAGGTGCACCATTCTAAATATTTAACAGCTTTCAGAAAATTAACTTTTCACTGTTTTAAACTTGCTAGTTGTAATTGTTTTACACAATTTGTAAATAAAAGAATTTCTGAAACATTGGTGTTTGCTTTAGCTTTTCTGCTGTAGAAATGAAATTTCCCAGGCCTGCCTTTTGTAGGGAACTTTTCTAACCTGTCCTAGGGGTGGGGTGAGGGGGCTTGAGGGAGGAGGTGGGCAGAGGATCCTCATGTTCTGGCTTGGGGCCATTGGATGGTGCTGGCTGCCCATGTGGGCCAGGTCTTCATGGAGTCTCCAGAGGCAGTGGAGATGTGAGAAGGCTTGCTGTACATAGGAACTTGACCTGGGCTCTCCAGAAGGTTCCCAATGATCATGCTGAGCCAGAAGGGGACACAGGTAGCAGGGGATACTCTCCCTGTCCTTTCTTGATTCATGCGTGAGGGCATCCTGGAACCCAGCACTGACTCCTAAAGACCACGGGCATGTCAAATGTGACCAAACTTACTCACCTAGTGGGGTCACTGCTTTTAGGCCTCACCAAGTTGGGGAAACTTGGGGAACTGAACAGGTCATTTAACCTCCGGTCTTTCAACCCCGCTGGTGGGGATGGGGCTCTGGTCTTTCTAGTTGGGTTTTCAGACCTGAACATAGGTCTGATCTCTGGTTTGTATAAAAACAAGCCGTGTGCTGTGTTGGCACCAACCCTGGCTCCCAACAGGAAAGGTGCCGCCATCTGGGTCGCTCTGCGACCTAGAGGTTCAGCCTGCCTTAGTTGTGAGGTTCACGATGCAGTGACTTCCCTGGAGACCACAGTGGAAAAGTGGGTGTGGCATTTAACCAGTAAATAGGGCTGGTTTATCCTGTGGCCTTGAGTGCCATGTGCAGGCTGACAGCGTGGGAAAGGGACTAAAATCCAGCTTCCTTTAGCAGAAAATCTAAGGTGGTTTCAAGGTTGCTTCTTTTTTTTTTTTTTTTTTTTTTAAAGATTTATCTATCTATACATACATACAAGCACTGGGTACAGTCAGAAGCGTGGAAGGGTGAGAGAATTCACCAGAGCCAGAGCGGGGAGCAGAGCAGGCAGCAGGACCGAGTACACTAATGAGGGGAGCAGCGGGCAGCAGGAGAGGTCTGCGCGCCATGTGGGACCCTCCTCCGGTGGCCGGGGAGCAGCTGGGGATCGAACCGGCGATGCAGAGGCTGTGGGCAGCTTCGCAACCCAGCGCTCAACTGCTGCGCCACGGGGGAGGCCCCTCAAGGTTGCTTTTGAGATTACTCTGAGTAAGCATTCACAGCTGACCTAGTTTCAATGTTGGAAAAGCACCAAGACCACCCCTGACCTGCCCCGAGGACCTTTGGAGGGGCCGCAGGGGTATCTCAGGCCTTTCTGTGACTCCCAGAAAACCTGAAAGAGGACCCCATTCTGCAAAAAAGATGTAGCTCATCTGTTCCAGCATCTGCACAGAGACCAGGTAGTGGGGTGGAAACGCTGGATTGCCATGACAGTAGATTTGCAAGCCTGGGTCAGCGTGTGGGTGGTTTCTGTCCCCACTAGGCCCTGGCCTCCCAGCTGCTTGGGGCCCACCGAACAACAAAGCACTCAGGTAGTCCCTGCGTCCTGAGACAACTGGCTGGGCTCCTGGGAACCTGCTGATGTCACCTGGGTAGGGCGGGGCGGGACTGACGCAGGAACAGGTCTCACTTCTGCCAGGAGAGCAGGGAGTGTCCTCTGGCCAGCCGCATGCCCTCCCGCCCCACCATCGGCCCCTCCCCGGCCCGGGGCAGCCCGGCCATGAGGGAGGTGGAGCCCAAGGACCAACAGCTCATGGTGAGCACCCTCCTTGTGTCCCCTGACAGCCTAGGGCTGCTCCTCAGAGTCTGCCCCTCCCTCTTCCTTGCTCCTTCAGAGCCCGCCTGTCAGCTCAGTCAGCTCTGACTTCCAGGACTGCGCCTGTGCTCCTAAGCTAGGGGTTCCTCCTACCTGCTTTCCCAAGGACCAGGCTCCTGCCCACACATCCCTTCACCGCTGCTCTGAACCCTGGCTCAGGAGCAGGCCACAACCCCAAATCGGGTGAGGCAGTCACCTTTCTGCCTGGCCTAATCCATCTGCTGGGTGACTGGGAACCTCAGCCCCTCAACTATTGGTTAGTGGCGTTCAGGGGCCTCAAGCCTGCAGGCAGGTTATCCAGGGGCTGGTTGAGACTGCCCCCAGGGAGCATCATGGCCGCGAGGAGGACCTTCCCCATATCACAGATGGAAAGTAGAGACCTAGCAAGCTCATGCTGGCTTATTGGGGGGGTTGAAGTAAATTCAAGACTTAGGGGTCAATGTGATTCCGGAGGTCCAGCTGGAGAACCCCCTTAGGAAGGGGTGCCAGGGCTGCGGAGAATGTGAAGAAAATGCAGTAGTAACGGGTGAGGTGGTAAGACCTCTTAGCAACTATGAGACCTTGGACAGCTTGTTCTGTGCCTCAGTCTCTCCATCTGAGACTAATGGGGTCACTGTCATCGCAGCACTCTTCTCCAAGGGTTACTGTGTGGCATGAGCAAGCTCATGCTGCATGTCAGCTCCTGGTGGGGGGCTGGGGCTCAGTAACCGTAACTACTTCACTGAGAAGTATGATGCCCACAGGCCAGTGAGGGCAAGGAGGGAGAGTTTGGGGATTCCTGATGTACTGGAGGAACTGAGCAGTTACCAGGTGTCCTGCCTACAGGTAGCCCTTCGGATCCGCCCACTCAATGACACAGAACTGGAGGAAGGCGCCACTGTCATTGCCCACAAAATGGGGGACCAGGTAAGACTGAGCACAGAGGGTGTGTCCACAGGGTTGCAGTGCTAACCCTTCCAGACTCCACCTGCTTCGCTCATTCCTTCACTCATTCTTTCATTCAAATGTCAATGTCAGTTGGTACTGTGACCAGGCACTGTTCCAGGCACTGTTCCAGCTGTGAGTGAGACAAGCACCCATCTCACCAAACTAACTTTCTAGTCAGGTATTAGGGGGGTGGGGTGTCAGACAATAAGTAGAGAAATGTATCATGCGGGGGAGAAATGTATCATGTATCATCTCTCAATGTTATGAGAGAGAAAGCAGAGCAGAGGTGCTCTGGAAAGTCTGGGGAGAGAGCAGAGTAGCCCTAGAGGATGGGGGAGGGCAGAGATCTCAGGGGTAGGTGATCTGGGCAGAGGGTTAGCCAGATCTAAGGCAGGAGTGGCCTTGGTGCCTCATGGACCAGCCAGTGGGAGCCTAGTGAGCAGGTGAAGGCAGGAGGGACCCAGAGCAGATTTAGGTCTGGGTCTACAGCAGTAGTTTTGTAAAGGGCTCCAGGGGATTGTAGGCATGGCAGGGCAGGGCTGGGGATGGGCACGCTGCCACATTGCCAGGGATTACTACTCCTTAGAAACAGACTTAGTTTAAAAATGTGGGTGTCCATGGTAGTCACAGAACAAATGCCAAATTTGGGGTGAAACCAGACTGTCAAGTGAGTTGGGTTTTCCCACTTGTCGATAGCAAGGCAACTTTCCTGAGGAGCTGAGGGGCAGGCAGCTCAAGGAGAGTGTTTGCTCGTCCAGGGAAAGGGTCCAAGCTGGCAGGGAGCCCCGATTACCCTGTGGTGGTGGTAGGGAGAGGGGTGGGAGGCCCCGTCCTGATCTGGCAGGGGAAGAGCTGGGGTCGAAGCTTCAGGAAGATGAATGAGCAGAAAGAGTGAGGTGTGTGCTTTGCAGGAGGGGAGCTGGCAGAGAGGCCCGCAGCGTTAATGCTGAGCTAAGAGGTAACTACAAGCAAGTAAGACAAGACGGTGTTAAAAAACGAAACAAAACCCAAAAACAAAAACCCCAACTCTTTAAAAAAATAAGATGATTATAATAGTGATCTGGAAATTCTTAGAACCGAGTGATCATGAAATCACAAGCTATGGTAATGTACAAAATGGGGTTAACGTAGTTTCTGACTTACAGTAATATTTTTAAACATTAGATTTTTATAAAATGATGTCTTTCAGATATGTATCTTCTTTTCTGAAAGGTTTTATTTCTCCTGTTTCATTTGATTCCAAGGCACTGATCTAATTACATTTATGGTGTAACTGCACTGGCAGGCTGGGGCCTGGGAGCTAAATCCTCAAGAAATTGCAGAAAACTGACAAAGATTCAGGACACTTAAGTGCCCGTGGTATTCAGAGATAGAGTGAAGCTAAAGGGATTGGGGTGGGCAAGGCAGGGCGGTGACAACTGCTTCATAATTACTGATCCAAATAACAGCAGAGGGAGAAGGAAGAAGCCCTTTAATGACTTTTAGGGCAATAATAGTAATTTTGTGGAGTTAATTGCAGCTCTCAAAATAGTATCTTGAGTCCCCAGATCTTGGCTCTGTCCATTGTGGGGACTAGCGGACCTTCCCCAGGGAGCACCTCAGCCACCCTGGGTGACCTCTGGATTTCAGCCACCCCCATGTATGACTTGGAACTCCCCTCTTTGTCTTACCTCCTGCCATTTGCTGACCACACACCTGGAAGTGGCCAACTCACCCCTGAAAACAGTCACCTTAGTGGGTAATACGCTGGCACCAGTCCTTGGCAGCTTGTGGGCCTCTGAGGCTGTGCAGAGCATCCTTACATTCAGGATGCCTTTCTCAGAGTGAGAATTTCTCCCAGATTCGTAACTAGGACATTTCTGATTTCATGGGGCAAAGATTTGGATTGGTTGGCGGGGAGGGGGGGCACTAAAATGAAACAAGTGTGTCATGAGGATGGAAAACATTTTAGCAACTTAGAACTTTAACGAGTTGGCCCACTTTTTAAAATTTGAGATGAAATTCACGTAACATAAAACAAACCATTTTAAAGAATGAATTTGATGGCATTTAAGCACATTCACCACCTCTCCCTAGTCCCTAAACACTTCCAGCAACCGGAGAAGAAACCCTCCATGCCCTGGAAGTACCTCCCCCTTCCCTCACGCCCTTCTCCCTACGCCCACCAATCAGCATCCTGTGTCTGGGTTACCTATTCTGGACATTCCTCATAAATGGAATCATACAGGATATGGCCTTTTGCATCTGATTTCTTGCACCCAGCAAGGGGTTTTGAGGTTCATCCATGTTGTAGCCTGTTCACTCTTTTAACTTTTTCTCTTGATGGAACTTCAAACTAATCAAAACCGTACAAGAACGCTCTGAACAGTCCCCATAATCTCTGCACGCAGGTTCCCAAATGTCACCATTTTGCCACCTTTGTCTTATTCTTCTCTCTTTCTGTACCTCGTCCTTTCTCCTCTGGAGCATTTGAGAGTAAATGGTGGACATAGTGCCCCTCCACACCCAAATATGTCAGTGTGCATGTCTTAAAAACAAGAACATTCTATGACCACAGTATAGTAACCCAAGCCAATAGATAAATATTGATAAACTATCACTTAATCGACAAGATGTATTCATGTTTTTCTCAGTAGCAAAAAAAAAGAAAAAGATATTATTCTGGTCCAAGACCCAAAGCAGCTGATATTTTTTTTTAACCTTGCTTTACTTTATTTTTGTTTTTAATTTTTATAAATTTTATTTTTATATTCCCCATACAATTGCAACCCCCTTATTTTGACCCCAATCCCTCCCCTCCCGCCCCATACCCTCCATAGAGTGTCTCTGGTTCAGAGTTTTTTGTTGATTTTGATTTTCACTTTCTTATAGTTATTCATTTTCCTGGTCCCTTATTTAAGTTTTCTAGGTTCCTGCTATGAGTGAGACCATCCGGTATTTTTCTTTTTCTTCCTGGCTTATTTCGCTGAGCATGATCCCTTCCAGCGCCATCCATGTTGCTGCAAATTGCATGTGTTTATCTTTTTTGAATGCTGAGTAATATTCCATGGTATATATGTACCACATCTTCTTGATCCAGTCATCTATTTTTGGGCATTTGGGTTGTTTCCAAAGCTTAGCTATTGTAAACAGTGCTGCTATAAACATAGGGGTGCAGGTGCTCTTTGGAATTGATGTTTCTGTGTCCTTTGGGTAAATACCTAGGAGTGGAATTGCTGGATCCTGTGGAAGCTCTATGTTTAGTAGGTCCAGAAATCTCCACACAGCTCTCCATAGTGGTTGGACCAGTTTGCACTCCCGCCAACAGTGCAGGAGAGTTCCTTTTTCTCCACACCCTCGCCAACATTTGTTGTTGCTAGTTTTTTTAATATGTGCCATTCTCACTGGTGTAAGATGGTATCTCATGGTAGTTTTGATTTGCATTTCCCTGATTACAAGTGATGTTGAACATTTTTTCATATGCCTGTTGGCCATTTGCATTTCCTCTTCAGAGAAGTTTCTTTTTAGCTCTTCTGCCCATTTTTTGACTGGATTATTTTCTTTGTTGTTGAGTCTCATCAGCAGCTGATATTTTTTGAATGTGTGTTCAAGGCTGTGCATGCTACCCATCTACCCTCCCCACCCCGGGTTCCGTCACCACGTCCATTGGACAGATGAGAACACTCAGGTGCACAGGGATGAGGGAGCTGGTTTTGAAGTCTTCCTCCAACTAGTGATGGTTGATGCCCGGGACTGGAAACCAGGTGGTGGCCTTCTGGAGCCTGAGTTCTTGCCTGTCAGACCCACTGCCCTTCCATCCCCACCCCCAGCTGGGCTTGAGCTCAGGCCTGGCCCACTGGGAGCACTCGTTGTGGAAACTGCGTGAAGGGGCTGCCTCCCCTATCCCGGGTCCCCCTTTCTTGAGATCCTCTCCATCATAGTAAGAGAAGGGAAGGATCAAGGAAAGGAGAGTTAGTTTATGTCATGGAAAAAGTGCTGTTCAGAGCCAGGACAGCTGGAGCTGCTTCCAGTCCTCCTGATCCCCCAAGAAACTCTGGGGAGCCCTCTTTTCTGGCACCTCAGTTTCCAAATCTGTAGACCAAGAGTGGGCTCAGATGCACAGATCTGGGATCCATCCAGTCCTGCCCCCTAAGACTCTGTGGCTCTTGCCCAGTACCTGGCCCTGAAGGCCTGGTGGCGCAGCCCAGCACCCCAAGTCCCCACCAGCCCAAGTGTGTCTCGCCAGAGTAAACAGAGCCTGATCGGTCTCTAATTGCCCTACCCCCTCTAATTCCCTGGGAAAGACTTTTTTGAACCTCTGGTCCCCAGAGGCCCTAATATACCTTGCTTCATAATTATGTATTTCTGTGAGATAGGAGCTGGCCTCCAGGGAGGGGGCGACCAAGCTCAGAGAAACAAAGAGCAGGGAGGAGAGCCTGGGCAGATTTTGCCTCCTCCAGCACCTGCAGTGCCCCATCCCTTCTCCCCTTGCCTCTGAGTGGTACAGCCCTCTGGGTAAAAGAGGTAAAAGAGGTGAGAATGGATGTACTCAAGGTTGTGATGAGCACAACAGTGAGAGCAGTCTCAGGACTCTACAGTTTGTACGACTTCCCTCCCTCCTTCCATTAGTTCATCACGGGCATCCCTGTAGAACATGGGAGGGGCTGTTCTCAGAGCCCTCTGTGCCCAGAGCCTCTGTGCCCTTTAGTGGCTCTGCCTGCACCAGGCTGGCTTGATCTGTTCTACATTGACTGGGTACTAGTGTGTAAGTGCTGGGACGTAGAGCCCAGAAGTCCTGGGGGACTTAGAGTTGTGGTTTTGGGGCTGTAGTAGCTGGGAGACTCTGTTCCCTTAGAAAGCAGAGAGGGTGCCTGTGGCAGAGTCCCTCAAGTTTCCCTCTGGCTCCCCATCCTGGACTCAGAGCAAGCTCCTGGAATTTGTCAAGGGTGGGTGCCAGTCCTGGGGTTCTTCTGGGGTCATAGGGCCTGTCCTGATTCTGTGGACGGAATCTCCCCCCACCCTGCTTCTCATTGATCCTAGATGGTGGTTCTCATGGACCCTGAAGAGGACCCTGAGGACACGCTGCGCACACACCGGTCCCGGGAAAAGACCTTCATCTTTGACACTGTTTTTGACCAGCGTGCGTCACAGGTGCCCCCACTCTCCAGTGCCTCACTGAGTCAGGCTGGTCGTGTCCTCATGAAACTCTGGAGCCCCTTGGGAGGACTTGGTAGTTGGTTGGTCTCATCCATGACTTCTTATAGGGGTTGATACTTGGGTCATGCCAGGAACAAGTAGCAGGGGGCCCCTTCCATGGTTGTGGTGGGTCCAGACTTTACACATATTTTTATTCATCCATCCATCCATCCATCCATCCATCCATACATACATACATCCATCCATCCATACATCCAGTCATTTGTCCATCCATCCATCCATCCAAACACACATACATACATACATATATACGTACATACAAACATACATCATTCCATCCTCTCATCCATCCAACTATTTATCTATCCCTCATCCATCAATTCACTCATCCATGCAGCTACTCATCCATCCACCTGCCCACCCACGCACATATCCATTTATCCATCTGCCACGTTCTGTCTGCCTTGTGACTATAACACACTCCTTCCCACAGGGTTCATGTTCCAGTGAGGGAGACAGCAATAGCAAGTAGAAACGATGGGTAGTAAGTTTGTTGTGGAGACCAGGGAGGCATATACAGGAGTGAGTGAAGGCTGTTTTGAGGAGACCTGAAGGATTAAAGCAAGGAAGAAGGTCCTGGAGGAGCTTTAGCATGCCCATTTCACAGACACAGAGCCTCAGGTCCATGAGGTCACATGGTGAGGCCAGAGCTAGGTGTCTGGATTCAGGATCAGGCCATATTCCCACCAGGACCTTTCTCAAGCTGTCCAATCTGTTACCTGATCCTCACCTGTGAGGGGATGTTATAGAGCAACCCCGATATTGAATGGGTTGCCTGGCTGTGGGTCCTCACCTGCGCGCTTAAAAGGGACTTATGAATACTCCACTACAGGCACACACAAAAGGTTAATAAAAGGTTTATTTACAAGGGAAAAGGAAATAAGGAAAATGTACAACTCAGGGAGAAAATAGGGAAATAAAGTCTTTAATGCGTCCTACCCGATCCAGCGACCTGGAAACCCAAAAAGCACTCTCAGAGCTGGCAGGATGGATGCTGCGAGCTGGCGGAGAGCCAAAATGGGGGACCCCTCCAAAGCCCACGTGTCTGGCTTTATACCAACCTGGCTGCTTAACCCCACCCTCAGGTCCCAGCCACCTTCCCTTTGGTGGTGATGGGATTTGGAGTTCCCAGTGTCTTTGGCTTTGGCCTAGGGTGGGGGTGGAGTCCACAAAGCCTTTATGGAACTAGCTTTAGGACATCCTTTTCCCCCCTAACAGGGAGCCTTATCACCCCACATTACCCAGGGGAGTCTAGGACTCAGGGTGACATGACACATAGTGTGAGGTGCTCACTCCTGAGTCCAGCAAGCAGAATTAGAACCCAGGCCTCCTGATGCCCCTGTTCTGGCCCAGAGGGAATAGGTCATTTGCAGAAGCCACACAGTTGTCTCTCGAAACAGCCACGTGCCCGTCTCAACTGGGTGTCCACTTGACTCTCTGTCCTTCTGTCTGTTCATAGGAAGAAGTGTATTGTGCTACCACCCAACACTTAGTGGAAGGCGTCGTTTCTGGATATAATGCTACGGTGTTTGCCTATGGCCCCTCAGGTAGGCCAAGGGCGATGTTCCAAGTGAACTGGGATTGGTGGCAGCTTAACTCTTGCTAACAGCACAAAACACCGACACTCTGCTGGCTTTGTGCTGGTCTCGCTGCATCCATGGGCTTCTTTTGTTCTTGTAGCAACCCTGAAAGAGAGACAGAGGGATCCCTTTTCCACAGACCTGCCCCAGAGAGGTACAGTGACTTCTCCTAGGTTACACAGCTTGTAGGAGTGGATCTGGAATTCGATCCAAGACTACACTTTGCTGCCTATGAGAACTCATAGATTTCTTCTGCAATTACTAGCTGGACTCAACAAACATTCCCAAAGCTAAGCTCCCTCTCTCATCCCGAAGGCCAAAATCACAGAGGGTCAGAGCTAGACAACCCCCACACATCCTATTGTAACAGGGTGGTCCCCAGGAAAGGGGGAAGTTCCAGGTTCCCTGCCCCACCCAAGGGAGGGTGGAGCTGAGCAGGAAGAGGAGAAGCTGGAGAAGAGACTGAGGAAGGAAGCAGGATGGAGCCAGGAGACCTGGAGGAGGCACATGGAGCCTAGAGACACGTGAAGAAACTGCGCTTGTCTTTTGGTCGTGGACTGGGTGACACAGATGTGGGTGAGACCCGTGGGGAGGTGACAATGGCAGCTTTTATCTTGATGTTGATTTTGCTCTTTTCCTCCGGGCTTGTCTGGTTTTTGTGACCCTTTCTGTGGTCCCCACTGGAAGATCTTTAGACTTGTAGCAGGCTTTGGGGCCTTGTTCTGGGCCAATCCCATTGGATGGACTTTACCCACGAGGGATGGGTAACTCTGGATGCTTCATTTAGAAGCTAGACTAGAAACTAGAAACTAGACTCTTTGCCTTACCTGTATTGTTTCCTAGTTTTATTAAAGTTCCTTCCCATTAAAGTCTCCTATGTTTTGTGCTGATGTGGCGGATGGCAGAACCCATTTAGAATAGGCAGGTTTGCAGGGTTTGGGCTGACCCTCTCCCTGTCCTATAACAGATTTGGCGACCACGAAGATTTAGGACAGCCATCCGTGGTTAGTCAGCCCCATGGGGAAATTGGGCTTCCCTATGGCACTGGCTACCATAAGCGCAAATGTGATTTTTGGTTTCTCTAGTGTGTTTGTTTCATATGTCGATTTGCTGTTGAAAAACTGGCTTGGGCTGACCCTCTCCCTGTCCTATAACACTATCACCACATAAAGGGAGAATCTGAGGCCCTGGGATGCACATTGCCCAACCTTACAGCTTGTTTATTCCATCCATCATTCATCCATTCAACAAGTGCTAGCAAGCCACCTGCTGGTGCCAAGCTCCAGAGAAGGAAGGCAGCAACCTGATTCTGTCTACCTGGGGCCAATAGGTAGGGAACAGTGAATGTCCCTGACAAAGAGACACTCCTCAAGAAATTCAAATGTTAATTCTCTGGAATGCCCCCTCCCCAACAAACATCTTGAGAATTTGGAGGAAAGAACAGACACCTCTCTGTCTCCCTACTCTAATATGCATCTGCATTGTTGCCTCCATTTCCTCTGTGTCCAGGTTTTCTTCCAGAGCCACCATCACACTGTTTAGACACTTTTCTCCCTTATTTCCAAAATGGAAAGAGAGCATGTCGAATGGCCAGGGTTCGTTTGCACAATAAAGGCAGCAGGTGTGAATAAGCCCTCTGTGGTGATGCATCCAGGTGGGGTCTGGACCCCCTGAGTCCCTGTCTGGGTGGGTGTCCTCCCTTCGCAGGTGCAGGGAAGACCTACACCATGCTGGGCATGGATGCAGAGCCTGGCATCTACCTTCAGACACTCACTGACCTCTTCCGGGCCATCGAGGAGACCCGGGACAACATAGACTACAGCGTGTCCATGTCCTACCTCGAGGTGAGCCTGCCCACCCACCTCAGTTGCCTTGTTTGTAAAATGGGCATGAGTGTGTGTGTGAAACCCTCTGTGTTTCCATCAAATGCCCACTGGCTTTGCGGAAATCCTCAGTTCTCAGGCATCTGTTGTATAGGTCCTTGTGCTGTTTTTGCACCAAAGCCACTCTGTTTCCAGCTTCTCTGTCTCATCCCAGATTTATAACGAAGTGATCCGGGATCTCCTGAACCCGTCCTCGGGGTTCCTGGAACTAAGGGAAGATTCTAAGGGCAGCATCCAGATTGCAGGCATCACGGAAGTCTCTACCTCAAATGCCCAGGAGGTGAGAGTCATGGGGGCCTATGGAGGAACATGGGGCTCAGCCAGGCTGGCCACACTCACCAGTGCATAAGGTGTGCCTTGTTTAAGTTTGCAGAGTAGAGCTGGACACACAGCTTCAAAGTTGTTTCTAAGCAGCTGGGCTTGAGCTAAGGGAACTGCAGACTTTGGTAACATAGCTTCACACTCCTCGCCTGTGTTCAGGGCAGACATCACTAATAGATCACAGGCTCTTCCCTCTCAGTACAGATGCAGGCTGGAAATCCTTTCTACACATGCTCCTGCAGTTGCAACCAACCAGAGTCGACTTTGAGCTTGAAATCCAATTGCCATTCCTGATTCTTAGTATTGAAGTATTGTTTTTGTAATGAAAGCAAGTTGTAAACATTTTTACAGCTCTCTATCTTTCAGTCTACCTGAGTCTCTTTCTACACCAATCCAGCCTCCACATTGCCCTGGGGGTGAGCCTCTCACCTCTCAGAAACCTTCAATGGCTCCTTATTGTCTCGGAATCAGCACAGATTCTTTGGCCCCCAGGGCCATGATGACTGTATACTCCAGCCCCATTTTCTCCTAATATGAGCCCAGCACCCAGCAGATGCTCAGGAGAGGCTTGTTGGCCTGGTTCCACAGTTGTTTGAAGGAGCACGGGCTTCAGACCACCAGCCAACCCTAGCCAAACCACATGACTGCCTGGACTTCTGTATCGAAAAGCATTTCTGAGGCTGCTCCCACCTCTGTGGGGAAGAGACGAGCAATTCAGTGGTAATGCCTGCCACAGTAGGGAAGGGGCAGTGTGGTACAAGTGCCAGCCTCCTGCCCCTCCTGCTGGATTAGTTGACTCAATTCATCACTTTATGTCACAAACCAGAAATCACTTCTACTGGATGCGGCTCTGCCTGCTGCACCCCAACCATAGGAACCAGTGAACAGTTGCCCAAAGGAGTTTATTTTTTTTTTTTTTTTTTTTTTAAATATTAAATTTATTTTTATATTCCCCAATACAATTGCAAACGCCCCATTCTGACCCAATCCTCCCCTCCCGCCCCCCACCCCCCAAAAAGTGTCTCTGGTTCATAGTTTTTTGTTGATTTTGATTTTCACTTTCTTATATCATTTCCTGGTCCCTTATTAAGTTTTTATTCCTGCTATGAGTGAGACCATCCGGTATTTTTCTTTTTCTTTTTGGCTTATTTCGCTGAGCATGATCCCTTCCAGCGCCATCCATGTTGCTGCAAATTGCATGTGTTTATCTTTTTTGAATGCTGAGTAATATTCCATGGTATATATGTACCACATCTTCTTGATCCAGTCATCTATTTTTGGGCATGGGTTTTTCCAAAGCTAGCTATTGTAAACAGTGCTTGCTATAAACATAGGAGTGCAGGTGCTCTTTGGAATTGATGTTTCTGTGTCCTTTGGGTAAATACCTAGGAGTGGAATTGCTGGATCATATGGAAGCTCTATGTTTAGTAGGTCCAGAAATCTCCACACAGCTCTCCATAGTGGTTGGACCAGTTTGCACTCCCACCAACAGTGCACAAGAGTTCCTTTTTCTCCACATCCTCGCCAACATTTGTTGTTGCTAGTTTTTTTAATATGTGCCATTCTCACTGGTGAGATGTATCTCATGGTAGTTTTGATTTGCATTTCCCTGATTACAAGTGATGTTGAACATTTTTTCATATGTCTGTTGGCCATTTGCATTTCCTCTTCAGAGAAGTTTCTTTTTAGCTCTTCTGCCCATTTTTTGACTGGATTATTTTCTTTGTTGTTGCTGAGTCTCATCAGCTCTTTGCAGATTTTTGTGATCAGTCCTTTATCATTAGTGTTGGGTGCAAAAATGTTCTCCCAGTTGGTGGGGTTTCTCTTTGTTTTGTATTGTCTCTTTTGCTGTGCAGAAGCTCTTATTTGAGTAGTCCCAGCTGTTATCTTTCTCTCACTATCACTGCTTTGGTGATGTGTCTGTAAAGATGTCTTTGGTGTGCAAATCCCGTAGTGTTTCGCCTATATTTCCTTCTATGTATTTATGGTTTCAGGTCTTATGTCTAATTCTAATCCATTTTGAGTTGATTTTTGTGTATGGTGTGAGGTAGTGGTCAAGCTTCATTCTTTCATGCCTAGGTCATTCTGCAGGGGAGCAGAAGGCCACTTGGGGGCCCTTCATTGTGTTTGTGCTTTCACATCTGTCTGCAGATCATGCAGCTCCTTACCAAAGGCAATCGGCAGCGCACACAGGAGCCGACGGCCACCAACAAGACATCATCACGCTCGCATGCTGTGCTGCAGGTCACCGTGCGCCAGCGAAGCCGAGGCACAGATTTGGCGGAGGAAGTGCATGTCGGGAGGCTCTTCATGGTGGACCTGGCAGGCTCAGAGCGGGCATCCCAGGTTCCTCCTTGCACCCTCCCTGTCCCTCTCATGGGCATCACAATTACTCACCTGAGCCCGTCCGCCCTCTGGTCTGTGAGCAGGACCCTGTGCGCCCTTGCTCAAATGTCTTCAGCACCCAAAACAGCGCCAGGCCCAATGTGTGTTGAGTGAATCATTCTCAATAGACATTGAGTGGCAAAGCCCACTGAGCCTGGACGGCCTCTTGGGTAACTGCTCTTCTGGGCATTGCAGACACAAAGCCCCAGGGTTGGTAGGAGGCGGCGTGTGGGGATATATGGGGCTAAGTCTTTATTTTGGTTTTCTATGGGAGAGTAGGCTTAGGATAGCTGGTCTGGTACTTAGCCCTGGGACTTGAGGGCAAGGGGACAGGGGCCCTGTGTGTGAGAGTCCGAGAAACGAGTAGATGGAGATGTGGGTTCTGAGCTGGCTGGTTTCCATTTGAAAGGTGTGCTCACAAGTGAGTTGTTTGCTATTTTTAGGACTTGACTAACACTGGGAGAGATAGTCTCTCCAAGGTCATTAGGGCTGCAGATGTCAAAGTATCAGAACTCAGAAAATAAAAGTCATGGCTGACACACACCAACAGAGTTGGGCAGGTCGCTTCATAGTGATGAAGCGAGTATGATGGAAGGAATAGCTCTGGGGCCCTGAGCAAGACCTGGAATTCTGGCCTGTGGTAGCTGGACTGGGGTGGGCTCAACAGGTAGGTGGAGTCCGGCCTCCCCCAGGACTCAGCTCTGGAGGGGACACCAGGCAGGGGTCCCCACAACCCTGTGAGTTTGGAAGATACTGGAAGTGGTGATTTAGGCTGGGAGACAAGTCCAAGATAAGTAAAATATTCTTGAACCAAGCTCCCTGTTGCCTTCAAAACCCACACTTTTTTTTTTAAGATTTATTTATTTATACTAGAACTGGGGTACAGGCCAGAGATGCAGGGGGTGAGAGGACTCACCAGAGACAGAGCAGGGAACAGAACAGGCAGACTGATGAAATACATTGCTGAGGGGAGCAGCGGGCGAGATAGGAGAGGTCTGCCGCGCCATGTGGGACCCTTGCTGGCCGGCCAAGATCAAACCTGCACTGCAGAGGTTGCAGAGAGCTTCACAGCGCAGCACTCAACTGCCTGTGTCACCAGGGAGGCCTCCAAAACCCACACTTTTAAAGAGAAAATGTTAGTTTCTGGTTTCAAATGTAATAGAGCTGCACTGCAGAAATAGAGGGGACTGTGGAAGCACAGGAAGATGGTTACACTTAAAAGTCACCTTCCCCCTGGCAGTGTGGAGCATGTCCTCCCAAGCTCCTTGTCCATCTGTGTATCCAACCTGCACACAGCCACTGAGCCTGATATGGGTCAGGTGCCTGCCAGTGTCCTGGGCCCTTTGTCAACCAGAGTGACGGGTCCCACATCGAGTTATGTTCTGGGGGGAGGGGAACAGGTGGAAAAACATTGAATGTATATAGGAGCAAGATAATTGCCAAGAGAGTGAAATGATTGGAAGGAATTTAATAGGGTAATGTGAGAAGAGCAATAGGCGGTGGGGTAGGGGGCGCTGCAGTCTGCCTTTTGGAGAGTGAGATTGGGGCCTGCTCCCTGAGGAGGGGTGCTGAGTTGAGACTGAAAGTGAGAGAGTTTCAATGTGGAGGGACTTTCTGGATAAAACACACACTTTCCTATTACTAAAAATGTAATTTATTTATTTAGAGGTTGTCCAAACAGACATTCCTCTAGCCTATGTCTATCTCATGTAATCATAAGCATCTTTTCAACATCCATAGATAGTGCTACCTCATTCCTTTTCATGGCTGTGTAGTGCTCCACTGTAGCACTATGTCCTATGTCACTGACATGAGTCCAGAGGTTCCAAGAATCTAACAGAGCTTGCAGAGCCTCAGTTCCTAAGCCCTAGCCGTATGTGTGTGGGGTTATTGCATCCCTCCAGCCCTCAGTTCCCTCCCCTGGGTTCTGGAGTTGGGGAGATGGTGGGTGGAAAAGGATCATCTCCCAGTAGCTTAACCTCTCTCTGCTCAGACCCAGAACCGAGGCAAAAGGATGAAGGAGGGTGCTCACATCAACCGCTCCCTGCTGGCGCTGGGCAACTGTATCAATGCTCTCAGTGAGAAGGGTGGCAGCCGTGCGCAGTATGTGAACTTCCGGGACAGCAAACTCACTCGCCTGCTGAAGGTAAGAGCTGCAGATCTTGGGGGAAGTAGGTTGCAGCAGCTGCCAGCATCTTTCATGGCTAAGGGCCCTTTCGGGAACCCCTAAAGGCAGGGGACACCATAGAAACCATCTCTAATCACTGCCTGACTCCCCCCTCCACCCCTCTGTTCTAACTTGTGCTTGCATACTCTAAGGGTCAGGGGGCTTACCACCTTACTGATGCTGTCCAATCACAGATGGTTTTACTGTACATAAATTACTCTTTATAATGAGCTGAATGTGGTTACCTCTATTCCATAACAAGGATATAAGTAAATAAGAGGCAAAGCAATAAATAAATGTCACTGTAAATTCAGCCCCATTGTCTAATCTGGTGGGCCTGGAAGGGATCTGATCACTGGCACCTTGGTCTCAGCATCAATTGGGGTTTGGAGCAGGAAACTCAGAAGGGCCTGGGACAGGTGGGTCAGAGCCACTGGACAGGTAGGGGCCCCATTTCCATGACCCCTAGCTTGTGTCTTCCACTGAGCAGGACGCTCTGGGAGGGAACAGCCGGACAGTGATGATCGCCCACATCAGCCCAGCCAGCACGTACTTCGAGGAGTCGCGGACCACTCTGCTATATGCCTACAGGGCCAAGAACATCAAGACAAGGGTAAGCCCTTGCTCTCTGCCTCCACCTGCTCCTTGGACTCTCACACAGCCCTCTCTGCTGGGGCACTTGGGCAAGAGCCTTCCTGTCTTCCAGCTCTGGTGGCTCCTGCCATTCCTTGGCTCGTGGCCGCCTGGATCTCTCTTTGTCACAGTCTTCACAGGGCTTCTCCCTTCTCTTCTCTTCTAAGGGCAATAGGGACAATAGGGAGGTTTTGTTATTCAATTTGATAGCCTGAGGTCCTGAAGCATAAAGATACAAAGCAACTTCTCAAATCTTCCACAACTAGAACAGAACCAACTGGGGCCCAGAGAGCCTGGCTCCATATTCCATACCTTAAACCACTGTGCTCTTCTGTCTACTTGGCTGTTCTCAGTTTGAAGCAACCATCTCTTAAGGATGCATGAGACTTCAGTGAGATAATGCATGGAGGTCACTTAGTACATGCAGGGCTGGAGGTCAGCCTGTGATGGGTGTTATTTTTATTATACTCATCATTTTTCGACAAGCATGTGATGAGATCACCCCAATGCCAAGGTGAACTAGATGTTGTGATAAGAGCAAACCAGAGAGATTTTATTCTCAATGACCCTGACCTTAGCGATGGGTGGAGAGAGGCAGATATTACGCTCACATAGATATCCTTTCAAATCATAAAAAGTGGGCCTCCCTGGTGGTGCAAGGGGTTAAGCACCACATTATGAAGCAATCCGAAGCGTCTGCAGCACGAGTTCAATCCCCGGCCGGCCAGGGAGCAACCCACATGGCGCACCCCCCTGCACCTCTGGCCTGCACCCCAGCTCTTATATGAATAAATAAATAAATATTTAAAAAACAAAAGCAAACAAAAAAGAAATCATAAAAAGTGCTCTCAGAGCCACAGGGTGCTACAAGAAAGAGTGACAGAGCAGGCTGAATTGAGAGGGGACTTTCCTAAGGGGGCACGGGTTAGTCCAGGTGGAGCCCTGAATGATGAAGAACATGTGATGTATAGATGAAGAGCAATTGAAGTCACCTCTGCTTGTGCCCTGCAGCCAGCCATTTTACCCTCCAAATCCACCAGATTTGGGTGTGGGCCCACACACCCAAGGAAGTTGTATCAGTGGGAGGCTCCAAAGAGCCCATCAAAGAGGATGGGACAAGCAGACGGCTGTCCCTCTCATGGGCTGCCTTGCAGCTGTTTGAACAGGTTCCCCTGTCCAGCAGACAACAGCCCTCTAAGATGCAGTGGATGAGAAAAGCTAGTTAGAGAATAACAGTTTACATTCAACATCATTTATATAAATTCAAAACCTGCACCCAAAGTGCTGCCCCTATCTGTCTAGATACTACATATAGACATATAGAACTGTACAGAGAAAGATCTGGAAGCACACACCAGGATGGTTGCCTGTTGGTTTATTTTTAAATCTTGATGGATTGTTTGAATTTTTTTTTATTATGGTGAGATGTACATAAGATGAAAGTTACCATCTCAGCTCTGTTAAGTATGCAGGTCACTGGCATTAAGAACATTCACTTTGCTGTGCAAACATTACCTTCCTCCACCTCCAGGAATTTCTCATCTTCCTAACCTGAAACTCTGGACCCATTCAACTCTGACTTCTCATCGCCCTCTCCAGCCCCGGTTATAGGCTTCTGCTCCCTGCAAGGATGTGGTGGAATCCCTTTCCAACTGACTTACTTTGCTCAGCACAGTGTCCTTAGTCATGTTTTATGTGACAGGACAGGACCTGCTTTTAAGACTGAATTGTACTGATTTGAATTTTTTTTTTTTAAGATTTATTTATTTATTATTTATACAAGCACTGGGTACAGTCAGAAGCGCGGGAGGGTGAGAGAATTCACCAGAGCCAGAGCGGGGAGCAGAGCAGGCAGAAGGACCGAAGTACACTGCTGAGGGGAGCAGCGGGTGGCAGGCGAGGTCTGCGCGCCATGTGGGACCCTCCTCCGGTGGCCGGGAAGCAGCCGGGGAGCAGCCGGGGATTGAACTGGCGCTGCAGAGACTGCGGGCAGCTTCGCAGCCCAGCGCTCAACCACTGCGCACCGGGGAGGCCCTGATTTGAATTTTTATGACAGAAATGTGTTTGTAGTTTTGGGGTAAGTGCGTTGCCACTTCCTGGGGTGCCCTGACCAGCTCTGACCTTGGCCCCTGTGGTCCTACCCCACCAGGTCAAGCGCAACCTGCTGAGCGTGTCCTACCACATCGCGCAGTACACGGACGTCATCTCGGACCTGCGCAGGGAGATCGAGCACCTCAAATCCAAGATTGAGAAGCAGGAAAAGGAGAAGAAAAGTAGTCCCGGTGTCCAGAATACACAAGGTAGAGCTGAGGCAGGCCGGGGCCTCTTTCCACTTTGCTGCCCCCTCTCCCCACCAGGGCTTGGAGGCTCTCCGTCGTGACCAGCCCCAGACCTGCCCTGTCCTCACTCCTGGGCCCTCCAGGAGTTTGGTGACCCTGCCCCTTTCTTACTGTGGGGTAAGCACCTGAGCTCAGCTTTCATTTCCTCACTGTACAGTGTGTGTGTATGTGTGAACTATGTCCTCTACTTTCTTTAAATTTCTTTCTTTTTTACTTTTCTTCTTACTATCCTACTTTTTTGGTTTGTTTTTCCTTCCTCCCAAACCAGATATATTAAAAAAAAAACCAACTTTATTTTAGAATAATTTTAGATCTACAAAATGATACAAAGAGTGCAGACTTTGCATTTTCTGCTAACATTTGCATCTAGTGCTTTAAAAACTTTTGATTGAGGTAAAACTCACATAGCATAAAACTTACCACCTTGAAGCAAATAATTCAGTGGCATCTTGCATATTGTGATGTGTAGCCACCTCTACCCAGCACCAAAACATTTCATCACTCCCAAGTCAAGCCCTATACCCATCAGGCAATTTCTCTCCACTCCTCCCTTCCCCCGACTCAGTTTTTTTTTTTTAAAGATTTATTTATTTATGCATACAAGAGCTGGGGTTCAGGCCAGAGGTGTGGGGGTTAAGAGGATTTACCAGAGACAGAGTGGGGAACAGAACAGGCAGACTGACTGAAGTACACTGCTGAGGGGAACAGTGGGCGAGACAGGAGAGGTCTGCTGCACCATGTGGGTTGCTCCCTGGCCAGCTGGGGATTGAACTCATACTGCAAAGGCTGCAGACATCTTCACAGGCTGCGACTTAACCCCTTGCGCCACCAGGGAGGCCCCTATCAGTTTTATTCAGGCTCCTTTTGGGATTAGACCACATTGTAACTTTACATAAAATTAACCACTAATTTATACCCACCTTCCCATACATTCATTCATCCATACCTTGACCCACCTACCTATCCGCCTACTATGTATTCATGCCTCAAGCCATCACCTACCATTCATCCATCATCCATCCATCTATCATCCATCCATCCATCCTTCATCCATCCATCCATCCATCCATCCATCCATCCATCCATCCATCCACACATGTTCATTAGATGCCCCCTTGGGCCAGACTCTCTTTGATGGGCAATATGAAGTTCAGCCATGGCTTAGGTGGCACTGCTCCTGATGCAGCTGGCTCTCTTTGTGCTCCTAGTTACTATTCCCCCACACAACGCAGAGGAGGATAGCCACCTGCAGATGAACAAGATCCGGGCACAGCTCATTGGAGCCTTCAAGGAGCAGCTGGAGATGCGGCGCAGCCTGGTGGAGCTGGAGAACACTAACATTGAGCTGCACATTGACACATCCCGCCACCTGCTGACCATTGCAGAGTGAGTGTCTCTGCCTCTGGGCATCACCAAAGGCCCCGGCACTCTCCATCCAACAGGGCAGAGAAGCCAGCAAGGATAAGAGAGGGCCACTGATGAGAGCTCTTTTTTCTTTTTTCTTTGCTATCTCTACTGCCTGCAGGTTCCCAGGGGGCACCCTCTCTTCATAAGCAGGACTCGTGATCTGATCTTTCTCTTGTTCTCCTGCCCTTATAGCTAAACTGGGCTGGGAGGAGAAGGCTTACAGGCTCCAATGAGCTTTCTCTCAGAGGGGGGTATCCTTAGCCAGGCCTGAATCAATGCTACTTGAGAGAAGGTGATACTGAGGCTCAGAGGGGCCATAGGCTTGCTCAAGGTTGTGCATTCCCTGGGCATTCTCTCTCTCTGCGCCTGCTGTGAGTAGACTGCCCATATACGTGGGCATTGCTCATGCAAGTTCTCATTTGGACCTAATGCACTTGAAAGTGAGAGGAGGTGCCATTGGCAGTCACACAGGGACAACAGTGCTGCCTGGGACGGCCCTGGACAAATTAGGACAGGTGGACTCCCTCCTATGGGTAGCTTAAACTTAGTGCTATAATTCCAGTTTGTTTTTCTCCAACCCTAGCCACGTTCTTCTTCTACCTTTTTTTCTTTCTGCCTTTTTGTTTATTTCTTAAAGTTATACAAAAAGCACGATACTTACATTGGAGGAATTCCCAGTAAGAGGAGGTGCTCTTACCACCATTCACCTCCCAGACTGGTTTTGGCCCAATCTGAAACCGGGATGTCTTGGTTCATCCTCTCAGAGTCCCTGGAGTGTGCACTGTTACCATCCAGGTTTCACAGTCCAGGAGAGTAGTTGGGGTGGGCACGTTTACATAGGAGGGTGCCCAAGGTCACTGGAAGATCTTAGGAGGTCCTGTGCTTGGAGGGGGGTGGGCTAGTTGCAAAGTCCTGCACCTAATCCCTCAGCGATCCTACCACAAAATGTTTATTGCTTCTTTCTTTCCTTTCAGCTTTTGCTCATGCTCTTTTTCATAAATATAGAAGAGCTCACACATCTGACCCAATTCTGCCCCGTTTTTTTAAAATTGCATTACTTTTTATTGAGGTAATGTTGGTTTACAAACTGTCTATGATTTAGGGGTATAGGATCACACCTCTTCAGGTGTAAGTTGTGACCACACAATAGCACCACCAAAACACCCATAATCCCCCACCCTAGTCCGTTGTCTGCCCCATATTCCATGCCCAGGCAAGCCAATAGGTCAGCCAGAACCCGCTGAGTCTCCAGGACAAGAGGTGCCAGGACTGCAGCCCTGTAAGAGGCTTGTATGACCCCTGACCCCTCTATTGTGGCTACAGCTGGGAGCGGGAGAAGACCCACCAGGTACACAGGATGCCCGAGAAGGATGAGGAGACGGCAGAGGCTGACGTGGATGGGGAGGAGGGCGAGTCCACAGAGCCACACGAGGTGGTGCTGGCCAGAGAGGAGGTCAACATGCTTCTGGCTGAGCAGCGGAAGACCCTGGCCCTCAAGGTGGGAGAGAAAACCACATGCCCACTGCTGAGGCAGTCACAACGAGGCCCTAGCATCTGTCAGGACTCTCAGGGTCCTTACAACCCTCCCATGGACAGGCCAGTCATGACTTTTCGTGGATGGAAAAAATGGAGAGGGATGAGATAAATGGTCCAAATTTTAGAGAGCAGGAGCAGCAGAGCTGGGATCTGACCCGGGTCTGACACCAAAGTTCGTGTCCCTTGGTATAGAGGTTATAGCCACTCGGGGTGTGTGTGTGTGGGAGCCACACAGGGCAGGAGGTCCCTGGGGACAGAGAGGCCCGTGGCCATGAAGTGGGGCACAGATGGTCTCCCTGCCACTTGGGGTAGCCAAGCTTCTAACAAGTCCCTTGGCACAGACAAGCACTTTACACTTTATGAAGTGCTTTCTCTCCGTTGATATCTCGCAAGCCTTCCCCTGAGTATGGGCTGGTCACGTCACAGGAGGTCCAGGGACATGGTCAGAGGAAGCCAGGATCTGAGGTTCCTCCCTAGAGAATGACGTCTTCTCTCCTTTTTGCTTTCTGAGAAGAGCTAGGTATTTATATGAACTCTTTCTATCATAGCTAGTCATCTAATAGCCTCACTTCAGGAAAATTTCAGAACTGGCGCTTGATGAAGGATTTGGGGAAAATGCCAGTGACGTTGGTCTCTATTCTACCCATTAGTCAAATGTCTGCGGGTATATTTTCAGGCCTCTAGAGAAAACGACTAGTGAAGTCATGTTGCTGAAAGCAGAAGGCATTTATTTCACTTAAAAGCTCTCCAGCCAAACCAAGAGCCTCTTAATATTACTACATCTGCCTGTAGCAATTTGCAGATTACTCCATCTCACTTTAAAAGTCCTCCACTCTTTAAAAGTAAGAGAAATAAATGCCTTTGTCTTGAACTGATAATGTATATTGGCAACGAGCATGACCTTGGGGGGACAAATGTAGATGCTGAGATGCAAAGTAGCCCATACATTATGACTCCATTAATTAAACAAGTAATTAATCAATTACTTAATAAAAAATAAATCAATGTTTTAAGTGTCCAGCTCAATGCTAGACTGTAGGAACATAAAGATGAGCCAGGTGCTTTCTGTGGCTGAAGCTCACCATCTTCTAGGGAGAGGCACAAACGCAGTTCTCTAGCCCAGTATAGAGGCTGGGTAACAGCCAGAGATGGGATGTTGGGGAGCCAGCAGAGGGAGCTGTTGGCCCAGCTGGGGAATCAGGAGGACTTCAGAGAGGAGGTGAAGAGCAGAATCTTTCTGGGCCAGCAGGCCCCAAACGTCAAAACATCAGAACATGACAGATAAAAGACATGATTAATGTGAGGGGGCAGCCACAGTCCTCAGTCGACCCCTGGTGGGCTTTCCAGAGTGTGGCTTGTAACCCTGAGCCCATTAGAACGAGCATCATGACCACTGGGCCCTGGCCCATGCCCTGAACTCCTGGTCTTTCTCCAGGCTGGGCTGGAGCAGCGCCTGGCCAACGCCAAGAGGAAGGCGTCGCAGATGGAGAAACTGCTCCCCAAGCAGGCCATTAATGAGGACCAGAGGGAGGTGCTCCGGCTGCTGTGCAGGGCCCATGAACTGGAGGTGGAGAGCACGGAGCTTCAGGCCCACAACCTGCGCAGGAAGAACCTGCTGTGCCAGAAGGACTTCGTGATTCAGCGCTATCACCAGCACAGGTTGCTCTGTGAGCAGATCATCCAAGACCAGCAGCAGCTGATCCAGGGTGAGGCAGCCCCAGCACCCAGCTCAGGGGAGCTGATTTTTATTATTGTCATTTTCTGGAAAGAGTAGACCACGCCCAGGTTAAAAAACCCCATTGTTATCCAAATAGGGTCCTAGGAAACTCAGTCTCCCTTCCACGCCAACCCTGTCTCGGTCCACTGTCTTTGTGGCCTGTGCATTCCCCCCAGTGGAGCTGTGCAATGTATATTCATGTAAACACACTTTTACACAAACAGGAGTGCCCTGCAGCATGCTTTACTTCGCCATCTCTGTTGGTGAGTGTTTGGATATTGGTAGCCTGATTCTACAACCAACCCTCCTGGCTTCTTCTTTAGGGTTCTGGCTGTTTTAAAATTTCTTACTTGAACATTTTTTTTTGATGTGAAATTTATGTAAAATTTATGTAAAATCCACCTTTGTAGCACATACAACTCAGTAGTGCTTAGCCCAGTTCAGCGTGGTGCAGCCGTCACCTCTATTCAGCTCCCATGTCCACTAGTCCATGAGACGCCCCTGCGTCTCTGTTTTCTATTTCCATGGACTGGCCTGCTCTGGACACTTTGTGTAAATGCAATTAGCAGCCGTAACCTTTCATGTCTGGGTTCTTTGGCCCTGTTGCGGCATGCAGCAGACCTCTGTTCCTGCTTAAGACTGGCTACTGTCCTTGACCTAGCACATTCTGTGTGTGTGTGTCCATCTGCCGATGGGCACTTGTCTCTTTCATTGTAGTGCTGAGGATAGTACTGCTGTGAACTTGGTGTGCCAGTTTTTGTTTGTACACCTGTTTTCCATTCTTTTGGGCATACACTTAGGAGTGGCTCTTTAATTTTTAACTTAAATTTTATTTGAACTTTAGAATTGTTAGTTTCCCTATTTTATGATTAAAAGACAATGTATGAACACAGTAGAAACATTTTACAATAGAGAAAAACATAAAGAAGACATACGGAATCCCAGCCCACTCTCTAGAAAGAACCCTCTCCTGTCAGCTTGCTGTATGTATCAGTACCTGCAAAATCCACCTCCTGTCTTTTTAACAAGGAACAGATGTTTCCCTGACCTCTGCTTTCCCTGGTCCTCAGATGCTGGCATCCCACTGCCAGAGGCCCTGGACAAGCGGTACTGCCTGTACTCCCGGGAGCTGGGAGAGGGCACACTGAACCGCCTGCTGCTGCTGCACTCGGTCATGTCCAGTTCCCTGCGGGTGAGTTGCCCTGAGGCTCGGCAGTGATCAACAGACCTCCTGATTGCTAGACCTGGTGAGGGGACTGGTCCTAAAACAGAAAGGAAACTCAGACACCTCCATGAGCAGAGTTGTCAAGGGATAGACACCTGTAGTGTGGATGGGGCTGTTGGACTGGGCCGGGTTCAGGAGAGGCGAGTCCTGCCTGGGCCCTGAGGTCTGGGGAGGAAGTGTTCCTGGGGTGGGCCTGTGTGGATGGGAAGGCCCATGAGAATGAAACCTGGGAAGTGTGAGGTGGGCCTTGTGGCTTCCATGACCCTGGAGAGGTATCTTCTTTTAGGCACATGGACCTTTCCCCTGGGATTGTCAGCTTGCAAGAGCAGCCTTGGGCCTCCTGCATAGAGTGGTGTCTCGTGTGAATTCGAGGGACTCCCTAGGGGAGAAGATGGGGCGAGGGGCCTGCATTTGTTAGTTAGACCACAGTCCTACTTGTGCGCTTGGCTCTGCCTGGTTCCTGGTCCACAGTCCTCTGCTTTACCTTCACAGGGTAAAAAAGGAGAAACTTCCAGGCTTCAGCAAGAGTAGGGGAGGAGTAGTTGCCCAGAAGTGGGCACAAGAGAGGAGGACCAGGGATCTAACTGCCTCTAAAGCTGTTCCCTAGTCCCTAGTAGTGGAGGACATTGTACCTTGAGGTGGTGCCTTCTGTGTGGAGATAGTTCTTGGTTTCTGCTGCTCCTGGCAGGGACTGGCTTTTTGGGCCTGCTGGTTCAGTGACCATTCACACATCTGGAATCGGGCTTGCTGAACATTGTGGCTATGTGACTCCTCCCATTCTCACACAGTGTTTTATACCCATCTCTTTTCTGTGTTACGTGTCAGCCTCCCCAAGACCAGCCTTAGGTTCATCTCACTAGGACTCAAAGAAAAACTGTCACTCTGCGGTGATGGTTTACTACCATGAAAATATGCAGATTTGGGCCTCCCTGGTGGCACAGGCGGTTGTGCACCGCACTGTGAAGCTGTCCGCAGCCTCTGCAGTGCAGGTTCGATCCCGGCCGGCCAGTGAGAATCCCATGTGGCACAGCAGACCTCTCTCCTGTCTCGCCCTCTGCTCCCCTCAGCAGTGTGTTTTGTCGGTCTGCCTGTTCTGTTCCCAGCTCTGTCTCTGGTGAATCCTCTCCTCCTGCACCTCTGGCCTATACCCTGGTTCTTGTATAAATAAATAAATCTTTAAAAAAAGAAAAAGAGAAAGAAAACATGCAGATTAAAGCTAGCAAAAGTGAAAGGCACCACAAGAGTGGTGTCCAGAAGACACCAGGAGTGAGCTTACAGCTGTCCCTGCTCAGTGCAGTTGCACAAGTGGTATTTTATTCTGGCAAAGGTGTGACAGCAAACTCAGAGCATTGCTGACCAGGAAGCTCACCATGCTTGGTATCCAGAGGTGTTTTTAGGGAGGGGGCTTGGGTCACACGGGCTTGGAGTGTCTATGGGGCAGCCTCACTCACCCAATCTCTAGGAGTCAAGCTGATACCACATGCCCAAGACTCTCACAATAAGTCACGCTATCAGCATAAACAGAGACTCTTATCAGGAAAGATATCTTAAGGGTTCAGAAGTCACCCCCGGGGACTGGTCAAGGGCCACAGCTTTTTTTGGTGTATGCAGGGTTGGAACACCCCAGACCTGCTGAGTCAGCCCTTCCACTGAGCAGAAGAGGTTTATTAGTGCTCCAAAGGGGTGGAAAGGAAATGTGGCCTACAGTTCATCATCTCACCAGGAAGCCCTGGTCCCCTGTTTGTGAACAGTTAGGTGGTTTCCAGCCTGTTGCTGCTTCAAACCATGTAATAGTCACTATATTTTAAAAAACTGTTATTTTTTTTTTATTGATTTATTTGTTTTTTAAATTTTATTTTTATATTCCCCATACAATTGCAACCCCCTTATTTTGACCTAAATTCCTTCTTTCCCCCCACCCCATAGTGTGTCTCTGGTTCATGGTTGTTTGTTGATTTTGATTTTTTTCTTTCTTATAGTTATTCTTTTTCCTGGTCCCTTATTTAAGTTTTCTAGATTCCTGCTATGAGTGAGACCATCCGGTAATTTTCTTTTTCTTTCTGGCTTATTTCGCTGAGCATGATCCCTTCCAGCTCCATCCATGTTGCTGCAAATTGCATGTGTTTGTCTTTTTTGAAGGCTGAGTAATATTCCGTTGTGTATATGTACCACATTTTGATCCAGTCATCTATTTTTGGGCATTTGGGTTGTTTCCAAAGCTTAGCTATTGTAAATTGTGCTGCTATAAACATAGGGGTGAAGGTGCTCTTTGGAATTGATGTTTCTGTGTCCTTTGGGTAAATACCTAGGAGTGGAATTGCTGGATCATATGGAAGCTCTATCTTTAGTAGGTTGAGGAATTTCCACACAGCTCTCCATAGTGGTTGGACCAGTTTGCATTCCCGCCAACAGTGCAGGAGAGTTCCTTTTTCTCCACATCCTTGCCAACATTTGTTGTTGCTAGTTTTTTTAATATGTGCCATTCTCACTGGTGTAAGATGGTATCTCATGGTAGTTTTGATTTGCATTTCCCTGATTGCAAGTGATATTGAACCTTTTTTCATATGCCTGTTGGCCATTTGTATTTCCTCTTTGGAGAAGTTTTTTAGCTCTTCTGCCCATTTTTTGACTGGATTATTTTCTTTGTTTTTGTTGAGTCTCATCAGCTCTTTGTAGATTTTTGTGATCAGTCCTTTATCATTAGTGTTGTGTGCAAAAATGTTCTCCCAGTTGGTGGGGTTTCTCTTTGTTTTGGTTATTGTCTCTTTTGCTGTACAGAAGCTCTTTAGTTTGATGTAGTCCCAGCTGTTGATCTTTGCCTTCACTATCACTGCTTTGGGTGATGTGTCTGTAAAGATGTCTTTGAGGTGCATGTCATTAAAAACTGTTATTTTGAAATAACCTTAGAATTATAGAAAAGTCACAACTTCCCCAATGGCAACACTTTCATTACCCTTGTGCAATTCTGACACCAGGAGCTTTTCCCACTAATATCAGGATTCTGTTTCTCCTGGAGCTTTGGGATGACTCAGTACCTACTTCATAGGGCTTGGAGAAATGTTGATATCCAGACATGTTGATGTATTCAAAAAAAGGTCATTATTCTTTTACCAGCCACCTAAGGCCTTCACCTACTTTACCTCCAGCAGCTTCTGGGTCATAGTCCAGCCAGCTGGGTGACCTGCTTCAGATTTGAGGCAGGATGACCCACCTAACATTGAGAGGGGGAGAAGAACCTGTATTTACCACAACCCCTCTCTGCGACTGTACCTAGATCAGCACCTGAAATGGGCAACAGGCCCTAAGATACAAGCCTGAGTGCCTGAGTGAAGTCCCTCATCACTGGACCTGCTCACACAGGAAAGCTCTGGCAGAGTTGGTGCCCACCCAGGAAACTCTGGTGTGCGGGTTTGGGTCCAAGGAGAAATGCTTGGGTCTGTGGGGGATGGGTGACCCCACCGGTTACCTCTTTCCTCTGATCCTCCAAAGAGCTGAGCTGTTTTAAATCAGTATTTAGAGACTATTGGCTTGAAGGATGACAACTTGTTCCACCGACCATGGGTCCAGAAGGCCTGGCCTGGCCTCGTTGTGACCACTCACGGCACTGGGAGGTGTCCCTGCAGGACTCCCCCCTCCCCATTCTTTTTTACTGTTGTAAAGTATACATGACATATAACTTACCATTTAGGGCCTCCCCGGTGGTGCAGTGGTTGAGCGCCTGGTTGCTAAGCTGCCTGCAGCCTCTGCAGCGCTGGTTTAATCCCCAGCCACCGGGTGAGGGTCCCACATGGTGCACAGACCTCTCCTGCCGCGCCCGCTGCTTCCCTCAGCAGTGTACTTCATCAGTCTGCCTGTTCTGCTCTCTGCTCTGGCTCTGGTGAATTCTCTCACCCTCCCATGCTTCTGACTGTATCCAGTGCTTGTATTAAAAATAATAATAATAAAAAAAATTTACCATTTAACCATTTCAAAGTATATTGGAGAGCGGGATTAATTACTTTGACACTGATGTACAGCCATCAACATCCATCTCCAGAACTTGTCCATCTTCTCACCTGAAAACTCTGTCCCCACTAAACACTAACCCCTCATTCTCCTGCCCCAGCCTCTGGGCCCCACCATCTAGGACCTCCTGGGACCTCACATAAGTGGAATCACACAGCATTTGTCCTTTTGTGTCTGGCTTAGATCACTCAGCATATGTCCTTAAGGTCATCTGTGTGTGGTGTGTGACTTGACTTCTTATTTTATCATTCCATTTGCCACTAGTGAACACTTGGGGTGCTTCCACCTCTTGACTATTATGATTAATACTTTCAACTCTTTGGGCATCTACTAAGCCGTGGTCTCTCTAGAGCCTATGACAAAGATCCTCTAACTTTCCGAGGACAGGAAGCCTTTTCAGGGTAATCTAACGAGCATCTTCTTTTGCACATGTGCCCTCGCACATGTGCCTCCCTTCTGTCTCTGTGATAGGGAGGCATGGCCAGAAGAGCTAACAAGCTGACCTGTGACCTCCCCACTGGGTGTTTTTCTTCCCATGTGGCTGCCAGAGGACAGGGACCTTCCATGGTCCCTCACAGCCCTTGGCTTGAAGACACAACTGCAGGTGTCTGTGGCGCCTCACTCGGCTCTCTATCTGGTTCCAGGATGGCTCTGTTCTGAACATCTCTCCTCCTCCTGAGGAGACCAACCGAGACCAGCCTGATGACAGGAAGGACCTCCCATGGGGTGCCCAGTTTGAGCTGCCACCCATTCTCCTGGAGACTGACAGGTAAATGGCTTCCACATCCCACTGAGCCCTTGTTTCCCAGAGGGGTGATGAGGCTGAGGGGTCAGTGGACAGTGTCATTGGACAGGGTCTGCTGGTATAACTGCCATCTGACCCTGGTCGAACCAGGGGCTGCTTCCTCTTGTGAAAGGCACTTTATCTCCCTTCCTTTGTCTATGCTCTCCCTCTGACTGCAGCGCTTTTCCTCTAGCACTTGACCTCATTTTTTGGGTGTTGGCATAGATGTTCCTGAATGTTCTATTTCCACCCCCGCTGATCTAATACCAACTGAGTGTACTGCTATTCAGTTCTGGCAGTAACCACCCAGAGCTGGCTTCAGATGCCTCCAGTTAAGGCTCCATTTGCCACAAGACTGCCCCCACATCCCATGCCAGCTGCAAATGAAGTCCCTGGTTCATTTGTGAAGTCTGTCTAGTCGGTTGTGACTTTGGGGGATTCCCATGATCCTCTCAGGTTTGGTAATCTACTAGAATGACTCAGAACTCACTGACAATGCTCTATTTCAGTCTCCCTTTACTACAGAGGATGTGCATTGGGGAAGGTCTGGTAGGACAAGGATTCAAAGCTTCCACGCCCTCTCCTGGTAGAATCAGGGCCATAGGGCCCATATATCTGGTTTTTTTTTTTTTTTTTCTTCAGGATTTATTACTCAGGTACAATTGATGAGGTCCTTGGCCACAAGAAAGACCTCAACTTCAGCCCCATCCCCACTCCCTCCTAACAAAGTTCTGCTTGGTTGGTCTTTCCTGTGAGCTATTCAAGGGTCACCAGGAGCCACCTCATTAGCATAACAAAGACACCCCATCACTCAGAAATTCCAATGGTTTTTGAAGGTCAGTGCCAGACCTGGGGACAGAGAGCAGACATATTTTTCTTTCGGCCTGGCCCCCTCTCCAAGAAGGCTGTTCTGACTGTCCTGTCTGAGGAAGTCTCTCTCCGTTTCTTCGTGGCCTATACCATGCAGACCGCATAACTGCGTGCTTGTTGCATCTGTATCACTGTTCCCTGCATCCTCCCACTTTAGATTATCGGGAGAGTGGAGCAGGGCCACTTCTGCAATGATCTAAGGCCACCCTTGTCTCGGTACAGGACTGGCTATCGCGGGGGCCTGCATGCGTTGCTGGATGAATGACAATGAGTGAATGAGGCCATGGTGGCCCCAAACCACAGCAGCATGCAGAGGCCCTGGCCTGGCTGTGGGGGTTCAGCCTCTGGATTTCATTTGGCTGACGACGCTAAGGACATACGGACTGCGGCAGGTGACTCTGCTGATGCTCTGTGTTTCATCCACAGTGATGGTTACAAGTCATCGAAAGTCACACCATCAAAAAAACTGGGAAAGCAAGATTCTCTTCTACCTCCGTCATCTGTCCGAATCCTGCTGACATCTCCAGTTCATGAGGTTAGCGTGTGTGGTGCTGACCGGGGCCCTGGGCTCTTGGGAGAGGCCTCCTCTTCTCCACTGGGGTTGTTAGGGCCTCCATCAGAACTGCTCTGGGCCAAGGGTGGGGGGAGAGAAGCTTTGGGAAGGAGGACTCCCCTTAAGTAGCCATCACAATGGTAGCTTACTGAGCCCAGCATGGAGTTAATTGTTTCAGTTTCCGGTGCTAATTTTCTTGGGCCACAGTGGCAAAGCACCACCAGGTGGCTGAAAGCACAGGCATGTATTCTTTCCCAGCAAGGCTAGATGTCCTAGATCAAGGTGCAGGCAGGGTTACCCTCTTTTTGAAGGCCAGGGGAGAATCCTTCATCTCTCCCAGCTCCCGGTGGCCCCTTGGCTTTCATTTCTTGCCTTGTAGCTGCCTTGCTCCATCTCTGCCTCTGTTGTCACCTGGTCTCTCCCTGTGTGTCTCTGTTCTCCTGTTATGAGGACACTTGTCATTGGATTGAGGGCCCAATGTCAGGGTGCAATTTAGCCCCAGGCCAAGGACTGACTTCTTCACATGCTCTTCCTTGGCTCTTGTTCCCATTATTCTTTCCCCAAATAAGCTATTTGCCTTGAGCCATATCCAGGTCTGCTTTGGGGACCCACCCTGGGACCATGGGTATGGCTCAGTGACATCCTGTTGCTGGTTTTCTACAGAAGTCGAGCTCCCTGAGTGTGAAGAATTTGGTTACCAAGCTGTACTCCCCAGTCAGCCTGGAGCTGGCTGCCCCAAAGATGGCGACGGAGGCCAGCAGCCCGGTGCTGAGTGCCCAGGCCCTCAAAGAGATGGCCGTGAGCACCAAGAGCATCTCTCTCATTGCGGCCACCCGGCGCTCCAAGGCCCAGGACCGTGAGGGCAGCAGCCGCCGCTCCTCTTTCCACCTTCCAGAGGAGGACTCCAGGGACCCCAAGTCTTGTGCCACCCCAGATTCCATCCCAGCAGACAGGAAGTGGCCCCACAGTAGCCCCAGCCGGGACCGCTCTCTGGAGAGGAAGGCCAGGAAGAAGCAGTCACCCTCCCTCCCCTGGAATGTGCAACAGGTGGGTAGACACTGGCCAGGGTGTGCCTCACCCCATCTCAGGGGCCCAGCCAGAAGGGCAGCGTGTTGTGCCGAGGACCAGCCTCGGTGAAGTAATGATGAGAACTTGGGGTCCCTAGATGCAAAGGACATGAGAAGACCAGGGCCCCCACACTGCACCTTCACTGTTGCCATTTCCAATCTGAAGCCACATGCAGACGTATTGTATGTGGTTATCTATTTTTTTCTAAAAAAATAACATTATTAATATCATTAATATATGAAAAATAACATTATTCATACATTTTCATGTGTCTTTAAAGTACTTGTATCTTAACTTGAAAAAGTACGTTATCTGCTTGTAAAACACGGTAATTGAATGATAATCATGGGAGTGGTGAGTTGTTAAGAACCAGCCACCACCAGGTGTTTTTTCTGTTGAGTTTGGCACGGGGCCTGGTACACACGGGCCCTCTATCATTATCTGTAGGGCAATGACCTGCCGCATACAATTCCACTCATGCCTACTTTGTGGTTTTCTATTCCTGCTAAGTGGTCATTGAGGTTGCCTTCCATTTTTTTACTAACACACAAAATGCTTCATGACCCAACATGAATAGTATTTTTCATTTTGAATGACTTTCTTGGGATATTGGACAATGCTGATCTGTGGAAAAGTCTCAGTGAAATAGGATCAAGCAAAAATCAGAGCACACAACAGTGTTAAACTGATTACAACTCTGTGAGATTATGTTTGCTTTGTGGGTGGGGCGGGTCTTACACAGGTTTATTTATTTCCCGTGAACACTTGGTTAAATAAACTGGAGTGAGGGTGAGAAGGCCACTCCCTGGGTGGGTTGTCTAGTGGCTGGGTGTCTGGTGGATCTGCCTCTGCTGTCCAGCATTCTTGCCCTGGGGACACATAGTGGAAGGTTGCTGAGTCCAGTGACTTGTTCAGTAGAAATAAAGGTAGGACAGGGCCTTCCTGGTGGCCTAGGGGTTAAGTCTCAGCGCTATCACCACTATGACCTGAGTTCAATCCCTGGCTAGGGAACTAAACCACATCTGGTGGAGCAGACCGCTCCTGTCTCACCCACTGCTGCACTTAGCAGTATATTTCAGGACATCTGCCCATTCTGCTCCCCACTATGTCTCTGGTGAACCCTCTAACCCACTGTACCTCTGGCCTACACCCCAGTTTCAACTTAAAAATGAAAAAAAAAAATAAATGTAGGACAATAACAGGGAGTAGTTGAAGTGGGGGAGAAAGAAAGGATATTATAAGATCTGTGGTCCACAAGCTGGGACCCAGGAGCACTAATGGTAGAAGTTCTAGTCCAAAGGCAGGAAAAAGTCAATGACCCAGCTCAAGGCAGTCACACAGGAAGAGTCTCTCTTAGGTGAGTCAGCCCTTTTGTTCAGTTCAAGCCTTCAACTGATTGGATGAGGCCCACCCACATTAAGGAAGGGAATCTGCTCTACTCAGTATTTCTACTTAAATGTTAGACTCTTCTGAAGCACCCTCAAAGACATACCCAGAATAATGTTTGACCAAATATCTGGGTACCCGTGACCCCGTGAAGTTATTAACCCAAAAAATTAGCTACCAAGTGGGTTTAGATGAGAACCCCCTCCCTGGTAGGGTCAGGGGTGAGAAGGGAAAAGGTGGGGACAAACAGCCATGAGAGATCATTTGTGTATTCATCCTTGGGGGTGAAGGAGAAGGTTCTCAATGACTCTGCCCATTATATTCATTGAGGTACCCTGCATGTCCTTGGTGGTCTGCACAGGCTGGGCATTAATGAATGCATGGCTTCAGCTCAAAATGACCTTAGCATTTCACCCCTTCACTCCCCACTCCCCACACCCTGCCATGCTGTATGTTTTTCCCTGCAGGTCACGGAGAAACTTCAGCCCCCCTCCGTAGAATACTTGTGTGAGAGTCAGCCACCCCCTGCACTCGCTCAACTGTCAAAGCCATCGGGAAAGAGCTTTTTCCCTGCTGTCCCTGCAGCTTCCAAGACAAAACCCAGCCTCAGTTTCCACGCAGGTACAGTACATCACAATCTTAAGATGGCCTCTCCTCCTGAATGTAAATCTTCAGAAAGTGGGGACCATGGGGCTGTTAGCAGCTGGCTGCTCTGGGGTATGAGTGAGTTTTATGTTTTTTAGGACAGTGAGTGAGCCAAGGCCATTGTCTTTGTGCAAAGAAGTATTTCCCAGGGTTCTTAGTTTTGCTTCTGGCCTACCTCCAGTAGGCTGCCTTTATTTGGCCTGAACCCTTGGCTCCTAAGTCTTCCCTCAATTTAGGTTTGAACCCTCGCTCCTGTCATGGTTGGCATTACAAAGAATATATGTTGTGAAGATTTTGGAATGTAAATAAAATAAAAAATAAGAAAAAAAAAATCACTGTTCATCCACTACCCAGAAAGATGACAATAAGATGACTTCCCTGCTTGGCTGAAAGGTGATGTGGGCTTTGGCCTCTATTATGGATATTAGAGTTGTTTCTGATTTATGTCTGTTGTTAAAGCAGTTTGGTGGATGTCAGTGCTCAAAGGGCACCTCCACACTGTTACTATCCTTCAATAAGTGAAGGACAGAAGTGGAGACCTAGCGTTTTGAAAGGTCTGGGCAGTTTGATGTCTCCATGGCCAGTCCTTGCAGTGGATGTGAGAGCATTGGGATATACCACTGGCTATGTAACATCAGCTCACATTTATTGAGCACTTAATATGTGCCAGACAGCATGTCCTCACCAAGGACATGAGGCAAGAAATAACTGTCATCTTTATTACACTGAAGAGGAAATTGAGGCATAGAGAGGTTAAGGGACTTGCTCCAGGTCACACAGCTTGGAGGGCAGAGTTGGGATCTGAAGCAAGGGAAGCTGGCTCTGGGTCCCTAGCTCTTAATCATATATCCACACACCCTTTTATTTCTTGTTGTAGTAGAGTGCTTGATCGATAGTTCAAGGACAGAGGAAGCAGGTTACACATCTACATTCAGTCTTGCTGATGAGTGTGCACCTTGGCACAAACTGATTCATAGCCACCATTTCAAAGGCTTTTCAGAAATCTTTGATCTTGGCGGAATTCTGTGATTTGTCAACTGGCTATTATAATTGCTGGGAACAGGCAGTTCTGTAATAACACTTAAAAAAAAAACTTAAAACACTTTTAATAAAACAAAGTATTCTTTATCCTTATGTCATTTTCTGCTTTCAAAAATTTCTATTTATTTGTTTTTATTCTGTTTATATAGCTCATAAAACAATAAAAATCACAGAAACTGCGGAGCAGTTAGGAGAGGAAACTTTGAAGTGCATGGGGGCTGGGTTGACTCTCAACACCTCTCCTCCCAGCTGGCAGGCAGGTGACGTAAATGCTGATCTCCATTTCTTCACCTGGAGGAAGTGCTAAAGATGCACCTATGGGGGGTGGGTGGGCATGAATGCCTGTGAACTAGCAGGTGTCCTGAGCCTGAGTGAGTATAGTAGATGACTTAGCCAGAAGGTTCTAGTCTCCTGTGATCATACTCTGCTTAACCCCAAGCACAGAAGTTGATGTTTCTATCTCCTTTAGGGTGAGGTCCCCTGGAAAGCAAAATCTGCTTTTTTTCAGAGGCCCCCTGAAAGCAAAATCTGCTTTCCCTCATGTTTTATTATGAAACTCCCAATCTATATAGAAATAGAACAGCATATACCTCTGAGGCAGCCTTCAACATGGACCAAAACCCAGTCACTTGGGTTTTAGTGGTCTTTCGCACATTTTCCTTCATTTACTTGTTTGCTTTCCTGGAGAAGTTTCAAAAAAATCCCAGCTCACATTATTTCACCCATAGACATGTCAAAAGCTCTAACTGATAACAGATATTATATGTCACAGCTAATTAAGAGCTAAGAATTAAGAGTAATTCTCTAATATCATTTAATGCCTAGTCATGTACAATAGAAATCAGTCTTTTTCAAATCGAAAAGAGTGGACTATAACTGAATTGGTAAGAAAGGGGTACCTATCTTTGTTGGAACCAAGCTGACTTTCTGGTCTACTGGGTGGTGCTGAGACCTTTCTTGATGCTCTAAGGAAAAACTGAACCCTCATCTCTCATTTGTGTCTCTGGAGAGTCCTTGTGGGGTGCAGAGATTCTTACTCTACAATTATATGTCCCTGGTGAAAAAGTCAGAGCATATTAGAGGTGATGGTCCTTTGAGATCTGTAGCCCAATTGGTTCAGATCAGTAAACTGAGGCATAGAGAGTAGAAGAGATATCTCTAGGGTCACATAACATGTTGATGGCACAGCCAGGGCTGGCACCCCTATGTTCCCCACCCTGTGCTGGCTCTTCTGCTTGGAGAGCACACATCTGTAATTGGCAGATATGCAGTAATACCTGCAGGTGTTGCTACAGGAACTGTGCTGCCACTTTTCGGTGGGAACGCAATTACAGCAATCGCGGAGCAGGTTTGCAAGGCAAGACTACTACTTCAGCAGAAGTTCTTGTGTCATTTATTGAAATCATACAGGCTCGTAAAGGCTGATCATGCGACAGTGGTATGAGGGATAGTGTCTGGAGGGTGGGTTTGGAACTGGGGACAAGGTATTACCAGGAACAGAGAAGGGGACATCATGACCATTTGTCAAGAGCCATTTGTGTCAGCAAAGCATTTGATGTTCTCACAGGCAGAGTTATCCCAAGACCACCATGGAGATAGTCACGTGATCAGGTCATCAGTGGCCTACGTGTCCTGGGGCCTGCCTTGTGATACGGGCTATACTCTTCTAGGTAGTCAAGGAATGCTCTGCTGTGATTTGCAGATAGCAAATAGGTCACAGTTGCCCGTGAGTGGCCAGCTAGTAGCCAGCTCATAGGAACCCACATGCAGGTAGCTGGGTAGGGGCCTGTGCAGGTCTGTACTGAAAATGAACCTTCCCAGTGAGTCTGCAGAACACACACTACAGTGTTTGCAGAGGCTTGAAACTCTGTAGGGAAGAGTCCCTGGGCAGAGTGCTGATATGATTGCTTGATGGCAGTACAGGGTAGTGGTATTGCTGGGTCTCCCAGCATGCCCTGCTGTGTACTGCCTCTGGGTGTGCAGTTACAGCCAGGCCCTGGGTACATCTGAGAGGAAGGAAGATCAGCACTGACCAGGCCAGTGGAGACGAGAAAAGAATAAACTCATTTATCTTCACAACATCCCTCTTAAATAGGTGTCCATTTCAGAATCTGATAAGCAAGGCGAAGGGAGGTAATGGAGCTCACCAGGGACACACAGACCTGTGGGTGGCAATGCAGGTCTGCTGACCCTTCTGTCTCCAGGGGTTCCTGCGCTTTTGCCCTCATTCCCATCCTAGGTGGTGTGGGAGCTAGACCCTCCCTGAAACTACCTCCCAGGTCAGTTTGGAAGATTGAAACTTATTCTAAAGGTTTTCTAAAAGGCCGTTGAATTCCTCTAAATGAGGAACTCTTCCACCTTAATTAAGGGCTCCTTGACTAATATCCAGAACAGCTTAACATGTATATAGCTAAAGCAGAGATTGCAAACTGACCATTTATAAACCACATCCAGCCTGAGCTCAGGGTTGGGGATGGGGAAGCTGTCTACTTGCCCAGAGAACAGTTGAAAATAATATGAAAAGTCAGAATGCACATAAAATGCAAAAATCTAGCAGTTCTTGCAAGAGGAAGCTCTGGAGAGAGACAGCTGCCCCCTCCTGACTTCAATCCTGACATGCTATCAGCCTTTCCCAGTGAGCTCTTCACCTCAGACACATCCCCCTGAAGGGACTGTCCAAGGAACTTGTGTGCTTGTTCCTTGTCCTCCTCCCCTGCTGCCGCAGAGGCTGTGTGCAGGGACATCTGTTAGTGTCGTTCCCTGCTATGGGTCCAGGTCAAGTCCTGGCTCAATAAGCAGCGGTCAGTGGGTGGAGGGCTGAATGCCGCCCCCCCCCCCATCTCTGAGGTCAAGGGTTCAGCTGTCATTATCTGCTGAGCTTGCTGGGTCTCCTGGCCTCCTCCCCTCTCACCTCTTTTTTTGTTTCCTGCCTGGACCATGTGCACATCTGATTTTGTGGGCCTTGGAATGCTTTAGTCCAAAGTTCAGGCTCGTAAATTTTAGGTAAACCCCACATAACAAAACTCATTATTTTAATGTGTACAATATAGGGGCATTTAGTAATCTCATAATTTTGTGCATCCACCACCACTATTTAGTTCTAGAGCACTTCATTACCCCCAGAGGAAACCCTGAACCCATTAAGTAGTAACTTCCTACTGTTTTTTCCCCTGGCTATTGGCACTCACTAATCCACATTGGGTCTTTGGATTTACCTATCCTGGTCATTTCATATACGTGGAATCATGCAGTATATGGTTTGGGGGCTTGTTTCTTTCTCTTAGCATCGTGTTTTCAATGCTTGTTTAAGTTGACGCACAAATCAGAACTTTATGAATTTTTGTGATTGAGTAATATTCCAGTGTATGCATGGACAACATCGTGTTTATTCATCCATCCATTGATGGACACTTGAGTTGTTTCCACCTCTTGGCCATCATGAGCGGTACTGTTATTACTGTCTGTGCACAAGTTTTAGTTTAGGTATCTGTTTTCAATTTTTTGAGGTGTGTACCTAAGAGTGGAAACTGGATCACAAGGTAATCCTGTTTAACTTTTTGAAAAATTGCCAAACTGTCTTTCAGAGTCCTTGCCCCATTTCACATTCCACCAGTGGGGCCTGAGGCTAAAGTCCTTGTAGTACTTGTTAATTTTTTGTGACTCTCTCATTTGAAAGAAACGGAAACTGAGGCTCAAAGAGAGGAAGTGACCCACAGAGGGTCAGATGAAAAGGCAGTTGCAGACATGAGACGAAAACCCTGACTTCTCAACTCCCATTCACTCACGGATGTACTCAGCGAGAAGTTATTGAGCCCTGTTTAAGTGTCAAGCACTCTGCTGGACCCTGGGGAGACAGTGCACAAAATACAGCCCTTCCTCTTGTGGAGCTGGCTTTGATTTAGGGGAGACAGACATTTCAATACAAATGTGTTAGTGATGCCAGTGTTGGAAAGAGAATAAAGAAAATGAGGTGGGTAGAGGGGAAGGATGGTATGGCTTTAGCTCCAGAGGTCTGGGGCCTCTAGGGAGTGACAAATTGCTTCTTTGTTGAGCAGAGAACTGAGGATGTGGGTGCCTAACCCCTCTCTGACAGAGATACCCACTTCTCTCTGCCATACCTCCCCTTGCTTCCTTTCCTGTTTGATGATGAGGTCTGATTAGCTTTCCTCAGTTCATCAGACACTGATGACCTAGGAAATCCCTTGTATTGCCCTGTGATGGTCAGCTGAGAACAAAGAGAGAACAGAAGAAAAGGAAGAACAAAGTTGTTGGAGAAGGGACAAAAGCACCAAAAGCCGGCAGAGTGTGAAAGCTCCAGAAAAACCAGAGCTCAGGAGTTCATCTTAAAAAAAAAAATCCCTTCTCAGTGCTGTGTGGTATACAAATGAGGTGACTGGAGCAAGGTGACTGGAGCTGGCACATAAAATGTGCGCAACATGTTTCATCTATTCATCTCTGTTTAGTTTAGTCCCGGAATTCACTGGGTGATCCCTAAAAATATAATAAAATTCTCTTATCTCTGGTGTCACTGTTTAGATGAGAACACGCTTCACGTGCCAGAGGTCAGCTTCACCTTCCCCAGCGCCATGTGGCAGAGCAGCGCAGGCCCCAGCCGGGCGCCCCTCCTGCCCCGGGACATCCGAGGTCAGTGCCTGCTTCCCTCCCTTCCCTGGCATCCGGATTTGTACGCTGACCTCCATGCAGAGAAGTCAGAGGGTGGCATACCTGACTGCCTCACACATGACAGCTCACCAGGGCTCCCTCCTCTGTCGGGAGTTAACTTTAACCTGTTCTCTCATGGAACTGTTTCAGAAAAGGTTAAGAACTTCTCATTAAGGGTTCTTGGGGAAAGGGTGTCAAAGTGTTTACTAGTCCTGACCTTGGGGCTGGAAGCTCCCAACCCGGAGCAGCCTGAGTAATAGCCAGTCGTCCATTGCTGGCTTTAACGTGTCCTTAAATGTGAGGGAAGGGACATGTTCCCCAAGGATTCGTGTGTCCAGCATGGTGGAGACAATGGCTGGGGATAGGCCTGAATACTACTACTAGAGTAGCAGAGGCCAAGACTTGGAAGTGAGGCCTACTTTGGGAGGTGAAGTCCCTGGTCCCAGGAAGGTGGTCTGGGGCATGGGCAGGGCTGAAGGAAGGAGAGGACCCATGTGGGCTTTGAGCTGTATGGCCAGTGACTTAGGCCAGGGATGGGGCATCCATATGGGAGGCAGCCAAGGAAACCCGGCTGGGACGCTGGCTTTGCTGGCATTTACCTTGCCCATTGGCTAAAGTCTTTCCATCCCTTCCAGGGTCAACAGACAGTGGAGGCCGACGTCACAGCCCACTGCCCCCCAGCAACCCCCGCAAGCACCACAGTGGCAGTGCCAAGAGGACAAGAAGAGCCAAATGACATGGTGGTGGCAGAACAGGATGCAGGAGAGTGGCCTGGAGGCTCATCCCAGCCCTGAGGTCTCTCTGCACTGAAGCTGGATTTGAGAGGGGCCCTGTTAGGGACACTTAGAGGGGCAGCCCTTTGCACTGGCTCTGGTGTCTCCCTCCTCATGCCCATTGGAAGGAGGCCTTCCTGGGCGAGAGAGCCCTTCCTGGGACTCCTCTTGGGGAGCCTTGGACCTCCGGCTAATGCGAATCAAGACAGAATTGTCAAGGTCCATGAAGCCAGCCCTGGAACCTGGAACCCAGATGTCGAAGTTCCAGTCACATTAGGATTGTATAAGTTTCAGCCATTTTCTCATTGAGATAGAAGACAAATGTTTAGAAAAGCTCTGAGCACCATCCTGTGGAGAGCTGGGCCATCACCTTGTCTGCTGTGGGCATTTGCTATAGTTTCAAATCACCACCCTTATACCCTGATTTCAGGGAACCCCTCATTTGGAAACTGTAGGGACCAGTGATACCTCCCTTGGGGCAGGAACCACCAGGTGGGGAGCAGAGACAAGCTCTGTGGATTTGGGGAGCCAGCACAGCCATGCTGGGAGGTAGAGGTGTGTTGAGGTTTGAGGCCTGAGTGGAACCAAACCACATGCTGGGCACTGCAGCCTGGCCTCACACTCGCTACACTGCCTGCTGTCAAGGAAGATGTGCTAGAGGCTTTACCCAAGCCATGTGTCCTTCCTGGGTTTTCTTGAGGAGTGTGCGGAGTGGGGAGGTGGCTCCCATTTACATTTGGGGTTTTGCTGCTGCTTTGCTGGAGATCTGCTGTGGGTACCATCCAGTGCTATTGTGGGGCCTCTTTGAAATCTCTCTGAATTCTGCCCTGGACATTTCTACAGGCCCTCCTGGCCCCAGAGTACTCCCTGCCTCTGCTCCTGCCCTGTATCCCTGGGTCGTGGCAGGAAGAGGGGAGACTGCCCTGGAGCTGGCCACTCATTTGGTACACTGAGACCTCTGATGCTTTCTCATTTCCAACCTGGACTCTGGAGCTCCATCCTGATAATGAGGCTACTTACATTGGCAGGGGGTCCAAGACGGGGAGCAGTGGCTTGTGGTCTAGTGTGGTTCAGTGGCAGGACATGAGTTCCAGGATCAAATAGCCTGAGCCTGCCTGCCTCTCTCGTGGGCCTCAGTGTCTTTACCTGTTGAAATGGAGACAATGACCTCAGGAGCAGGAAAGGCGAAGATTCATACAGGAGAGATGTTCAGTATGGTGCTGGCACACAGTGAGACACCACTATGGGATTTCCATGTGGGGGCCTCAGTTTCCCTTTGTGCAAACTGCGTAATCTATTGCCACAGTCTCTGATGAGAAGTTTTTAAATGTGAAATATGATTATAAAAAATATGAACAAAGGGCCTCCCCGGTGGCGCAGCGGTTGAGCGCTGGGTTGCGAAGATGCCCACAGCCTCTGCAGCTCCGGTTCGATCCCCGGCTGCTCCCCGAACACCGGAGGAGGGTCCCGCATGGTGCACAGACCTCTCCTGCCACCTGCTGCTCCCCTCAGCAGTGTACTTCGGTCCTTTTGCCTGCTCTGCTCCCCGCTCTGGCTCTGGTGAATTCTCTCACCCTCCCGCGCTTCTGACTGTACCCAGTGCTTGTATAAATAAATAAATAAATAAATCTTAAAAAAAAAAATATGAACAAAGAAATGCAGTGGGCTCGTGCAGTTGTGGAACATTCACCTGTGAATTCTTTCCCCTTCTCATCCTGACTAGAGCCCCATTTCAACAGCAGTCAGAAGGAAGTGGGCAAGTGTTTAGCTTTGACATTCAGAAACCACAGGCCCAGGTGTAAGACTGAAGAGGAAGAGATGACCCCACCCTTACTGGATGAAGATGCTGATGTTGATAGGGGTGGGGTGTAGGGAGGAGGTAGGGAGAGATTTGGGGATGCACATATGGGGGGACTTTGACCTTTGGCTTAAATTCCAGGGGAACATGTTTCAGGGAACCTGGGTAGGACAGAAATTGCTGGTTGCCCCCTTATATACGCTCTCTTTCTTCCATAATATTAGAACCTCCATTTTTTAGTTGGCTCCCAAAATAAAGACTATATTTCTCAGCCTTTTTGCAGCTGTGTGTGACCATGTGACTAAGTGCTGGCCAATGGAATATATCCCAGAAAAGACTGCTTTCAGGCATCTTTATCTTAAAGGACAAGAAACACGTATCTCAAGTCTATTTTCTTTTTTGTGTCCTCATCCTGCTGTTTGGAATTTGGATGTGATGGCTGGAACTCTAGCTATCATCTTGGGGTCATGAGGGCAAATGCCATGCCTTGGAAAGGAAGGATTCGATTGCTGAGAAAAACATGCCTCTCAACAGCGATATGTCTGACCTCCAGACTTTAACTTGAGAGAGAAGTAAACTTCTACCCAAAGCCACTGTAGTTTGGTGAATCTCATTCTGACTGATACGTGAGGGGAAGCCCAGGTTAACAAATAGAAGTCTCTGGTAGTTTGTGGAGTGACATTAGAGAGGTAGTGATGGCAGCATAGTGGGATAAGGCACGGAGGTCAGAAATAACCCGTAAAAGTTTCTCCTGAGGTGGTATGAGCACACAGCAGAAGCTTCTGATCTGATTGTTGAAAATGGATGTTTGCAGATGTAATTCATTAAGATTAAATGTAATTTAATGAATTAAATGTAATTTAATTTATATAATTCATTATGTAATTCTTAATGTAATTCACTAAGATTAAATCACCCTGGATTTAGGGTGTGTCGCAAATCCAGTGACAAGCACCTTCATAAGAGGCGAGAAACACAGAGAGAAAAAGACCATGTGACAATGGAGGCAGGGCCCGGAGTGATGTGTTTACATTCCAAGGATGCTGGAACCACCAGAGCTGGAATACGCCAGGAAAGACCCTCCCTAGCACCTTCAGAGGGAACTTGGGCCCGGGAACATCTTGATTTCAGACTTTTGTCTGCAGAACTGAGAATGAGGAAATGCTTGTTGTCTTGTGTCACTTGTTACAGCAGCAGCGGAAACCCAGCACTGTCTGGATGAGGCACCTGCATCCTGGACAAAGGTGGGCAGGGGTCAGGAAGGGCAGACCTGCTCACTTGGGCCTGCCCAGCCAGGTCTCTCTCTCAGCATCCCCGCTGCTTGGACTAGGCCGCAGGAACCCCAGGTTCTGGCCAGTTATCTGAAGCCTTTCTCTTGCACTGAGGAGCAGCCCAGAGGAGCTGGGGATTTTATCCCTACCCCAGGGGCAGAGACTAGCCCCAGATCTGACAGACAATCCCAAGGGGGTGTAACAGTCTGTCAGAAGCCCCTGAAGGACTGAGGCCCAGCTGTCCCTGAGAGGCACCTGCCGGTGTGTCAGACCCTCAGGCTTTCACTCTTTCCATCTCACACCTCACTGCGCAGCCCTAATAAACTGCCTGCATTCTGTCTCAGTGTCAGCTTTGGGGGAGCCAAACTGAGATGGGAGGGCTTCTCATAGGACCTCACGCTCCTGCACCATCTGCTCCAGGGGGAGAGCAGAGGCCTTTATGCTGACTGATACATAGGTTCTGGGAGGCTGGCTGCCTGCAGGACTTTTCTCAAGAACTTGATGCTCTGGGCAGAAATGGAACTTGTAACTTATTTTTTTTTTTAAAGATTTATTTATTTATACAAGCACTGGGTACAGTCAGAAGCACGGGAGGGTGAGAGAATTCACCAGAGCCAGAGCGGAGAACAGAACAGGCAGACTGACGAAGTACACTGCTGAGGGGAGCAGCGGGCACAGCAGGAGAGGTCTGTGTGCCATGTGGGACCCTTGCCGGTGGCTGGGGATTGAACCAGCGCTGCAGAGGCTGCGGACAGCTTTGCAGCTCAGCACTCAACCGCTGTGCCACCAGGGGAGGCCCAAACTTGTGACTTTTATTCACAGGCCAGAAGTGGCTCAAGTACTAGTCAGCAGGACGCTCACCGTTGGGCAAAATCAAGTGGAATGTCTGTGTTTTTTCCCAAATGGAAACAGAAGATGAGCCGGAAGCACGGAACCTGGATTCACAAAGATGCAGTGATGCTTTCTCACTGTCGTAGCAAGGACCATGTGATCCCTTTTCTTAGCTCAGCCTGTTCTCAGTCACCTATAGGTGCAAAGGCAGTGGGGAGCTTGTACATTGACAAGACTGAGGAAGTGCAGTCACAC